TTACAGCTTCAGAGGCTCCCCAGGATGGTAGTGGATGTTAGGTTGGGATTTTGCCACAAATTAAGACCAAAGGTCAGAGGGACTTGGGGCTATTGATCAGCCGTCAGTCATTCTTTTAGCAGGCCGGCTGATGAGATTCCTCCCGGGAAATGGCAAAGAGGAAAGCTGTTAGCTGTGGTGATGTCTGACGGGCCAACATGAGGTCCTCCTGGGAGCTCTTGAGTGGGTCAGTTGGGAGGAGAGGAGGGTGTGGACAGAGAACACGAAAGAGCTAGAAATGCTTCACTTCCACGTGCAGGAAAGCTTCAGAGTGTGACAGTCACCCAGGCTAGCTTGGAGTGGAGAGGGTGATCAGAAGAATTGAAGTGGTGTGGGTGGTAGGGAGGCCTATGACTACCAGGTGTTGGAGAGATGCGTGGAATATGGGCACACTGACCATGGATAGGATTATTGGGCAGAGTTGGGCGTGCGGGTGTTGGATTCACCTTAGGAGTGGGAGAAGATGAAGTGCCAGTACCAGAACTGCTGATGAATGGGATGTGTGACCCATTCATACAGGTGTGGCAATCCCCAAAAACGATTTCCTGGGGAAACTGTGGCTTTCCACATGCCTCAGCCCCACCCCATGCCACTGGTCTCTCTCCCTTCCAGCCTGCTCACCCGGTGCCGCTGATTGCTTCATTGGCAGATGGAGGGCAGCCCCTCTGGGATGTGGCGCAGTGGGGAGCAGTAAGTGTGCCCCACCAGATGCTCCTCTCCTCCTCAAGGGAGTGGGGAGTGTGGCCCAGGAACAGACAGCCTCCCTGCAGAGAGCCCCCCGTGGCGGGGGATGGGAGTAGCTTAGCCTCTGTCTTCTCGGTCTCCTCACCTGTGCACTGGTTGTGGATGACACGAGTGATTACTAGGCTCTCATCACCTCCAGCTGCAGCGAGGATAGAATGAGACCTGCTGCTGGTGGTCAAGCCCTGAAGTCCACAGTGGTGGACACTGTTGTTTCACTCACTTTCTTTTTCCCTTGGCTTGGCTCTATGGATGGCACTGGAGTGTTTGCACTTCTGCTGACTCTTGTTTTAAGATAAGACCAAGAGAACTGACACATATTGGCCACCTGTTGTGTGCCAGCCACTGCCCTAGTCGATAATCTGTCAGGACATCTTGGGATTGTTAATTGAGTATCTTTAGTCAAGCTCCCCCTTACAGTCTGTGGAGCGTATGGGCTGCTGTTTTTGTTTTGTTTTTTAATGGGCCGCTTCTTGTCATCCACAGTTTTAGAGTAGAAGTCAAGATTCAGAAAGGTTTAATAACCCATCATTCAGCCACTAGATGTCCATACTGAGTCTGAATCCATCTTTGAATCTTGTACCTATTTCTTTTCTTAACCCACCAGCCTGTGCCAGGCTGTGGGTCCCCCTGCCTAACATTTTTCTTTGGTTCTTTTTTCTCCCCCTTTTTAGTGGGGAAAACAGTTGTGTCACCCAATATACTCAGAACCCAACTGTTAGGTGGGACCATATGACACTTGCACTACTCTTTGAATATTTCCAGCTTATAGAAATGCCTCTGTAATCAGCTTCAAACTGATGCTTCTCTCTGCCCCTGGCCATTATCACTGGGTTACTGGCAGACATCTCCTGATTGGTTTCCCTGTTTCTGTCCTGGCCACTCTTTTCTTCGCACAGCAACGCCTAGAATGAAAAACACACAAGTAGTTGGAACAGGCTACCCCTTCCTGGCTACTTGTTAGGCTTCCTCCCTCCCCTATAAAAAGGCGCTGTACCCTCTGGATCCCTGCTGTGCCCAGTGGAGAGGATTTTCAGAATATTTCTTTATTCAACAAAAGGTCGTTTAGAAAGTGCAGCAAGTCCTAATTATTGGGACTTTAAGGATAAATTTTAAAATCTAGAGAAAAATTTGTGATCATGGAATTTAGAAGCTTGGCTTTCTGGCAGTGGTTCACAGAGAAGACTCTCTCCTCTGCAGTTGCAGGGTCCTGCTGCCACTGCGAGTCACAGCAGCCCTGACTCCCATTCAAAACCTAAGGTGTGTTTTGGTGGACATGTTGCAGCAGGTCAGAAAAGGCAGACTTCAGACCTGAGGTGTGAACTATCTTTCCCAGCTGGAGGGAGGTCACGGTGGGGAAAATACCACTGTTTTGAACTATGCATACCTGTAACACTTTTTTATCAGTGTTAGCAAAGCCACACATATTTATGCTGTTCTGCATTGATAGTTTACAGATTAATTCTTTGACCTTATTTGAAAGTCAAGAACACAAGTGGTTAGGAGCACAGGTTCTGAAGTCTGATTTTCTGGGTGCAAGTCTCAGGTCTACTTGGTAACTACTCTGGATCTTGTTTCTTCATTTGGCCTCTAACTCTGGTTCTCTGGCTCCTTGGTTGTTCTTTGCTTTTTGGCTGTTTTAGCTTCTACAAAGTTTGGTATTTTGTCCTTGTAGTGTTGGTTATAATCTTTAAAAGCCACTTTATCTCCTGCAGTTACTTTATTGCAATAAGTGAAGCACTTTCTCCTGGGCTCTTCCCTGATCCTTGAAACAGAAATTGGAGAACTAGAAACTAGAGAACCAGGGCAGCCTGCAAATCAATCTTACTTGAACCAGAATGTTTTTCAGAAATTAAAGTTGTGGGCTGGGAATGTAGCTCAGCAGCACGGCGCCTACCGGGCAAGCATGAAGTTGTAAGTTCAGTTCCCATTACCCCTCCCCTCCCCCCAAAAATTGAAGTTGCTTTGAATTGCAGTCTGAGCTGTCATATAACGTCTACATTTTGACTTCTGGAAAAAATCAGGAAAATGGACTCCTCTGGTGTCAGGGTCTATAGAGGGAATAGTACCGTTTGGTTTTGCTACTCTGGATACTTCCTGGGTACTTTAAGGAGCCATCATGGCGCTTGGCTCATTCACTAATGGTTGGCACCAGTGGCATTCCAAAACAGAAACTGTTCTAGAGCTCAGAAGCCAGCGTGGATGCTGAGGATGGACTGGGTGCTTCAGATGCCATTGAATACATGAGCTGATTCTGATTAGGTAACCGTGACTAGAGACTAGAAGCTAAACCTTATGTATGAACTAAGGTAGCAGTGCCCCTTCTGTGTCACAGAGTGGCAGATGATCTTGTCACCCAAGCAGAGCCTTGGCATTATTGGCCTAGGTTGCTGAAAGCTGAAAGCTTGGCCACCAGCTTTGTGGGGTGAATGTCCTGGGCCCTCTCACAGCCTTGAGAACCTCTACTAGGGGAAGTCAGAGCTCCTTCCTTAGACAATTCTTGTCCATGAGGGGAAGAATCCATGCCGCACAGCTCTCTGTAACGTGTGTTACAAGTCTTACAGTCCCATGAGCATAGTGCTTGGTATTAGTCACCTGAGCATTTTGTTTTGTTTTGTTTTTAATACGTATAGTAAAAAGGCATTGAAAATCAGCTAGAAGGTTAAGATACTATTTAGCATTCCATCAAGGATAGCATTGTCCAAAAAGGGGAAACTAAACCATGTGTGGTGATGCAGATCTGTAATCCTGGCATTTGGGAGGCTGAGGCAGGAGGATCACTGTGAGTTTGAGACCAGCCTTGACTACATAGTGAGGCCCTGTCAAAAAAAAAAAAAAAAAAAAGAGGAAGCTAGTAACCTCCAGGACCCTGTCCTGTTCTGTCCTCAGTACTGTGTAAGAGACTGGCCTTCCAGAGATTGACTGAACACTAAGCATTTAGAGCTGATTTGATAAAATATGGAGCCTGGGGGGCCTAACAAGAAATATCTTCTGCTGAGTGGATGTGGGGAGGTTCTGTGTATTCAGACAGGATGTTGTGTTGTTTCAGTAGCATAAAACTTTGTTCTGCTGGAAGACTGTCATCTCTGAGATTGTGATTTCGGAATAATGATACTATTTCCATAACTTAACTGTGTGGGAATTGTAACGTCTGTGATAAGTAAAAATTGTAAAATTTCTTTCAACTCTCCAGAACAGATAGTTTAGCATAACACTGTGAATTATTTAATGCCACTGACTTATATACTTAAAAATGGTTAAAGTAATGCACTTTAGAGGCCAGAGATATATAGCTCAGTGACACAGCGCTTGCCTGGCAAGCACAAGGTCATGAGTTCAGTTCCTGGTACTGAAAAAATAAATGGTACACTTTAAGTTACTTTAGGTTACCACAGTTGTTTTTTAAAAAAGAGTTTATTAAATAAAGTATATACTTATGATAGAAAGTGGGAAAAAGAAGAAAAAAACCACACCATCCTACTACTATCAATATTTTGTTATATTTGCTTCAATATTTTCTTGAATTTGTATCCAATCTTCCATGCATATTTTTGCAGTTGAAATGTTGCTTCCTTGCCAGGATATTGTGCTAACCACTGCCGACACGCTTTCTGCTGAGTGGGGAAGTAGGTAGAAAGGAGATGGACTGCAGACCCACTGGCTGCATTCAAATTTTGGTTTCTCAGTCCTTGATGTAGACATAGCAAGCAAGTTGCTTACTCTTACTGCCTTGGTTTCCTTATCAAAATCACTGGTTCTCATGGGAGGGAGTTTGGCCCAGCGGACACTTGGCAGTGTCCAGAGATGTGTTTGGTAATGAGACTGCAGGCAGCAGGGAGGGTGGCGGTCAGTGATGTTTCTAAACCTACAGTGCACAGGCCAACCTCATAATAAAGATTTATCTTTCCCTAGGTATCAGTAGGGCCTAGTTTGAAAAACTGCTAAACAAGATAGAAGTCATAGTAGTACCCATGTCAGAAGATTGCTGTGAGCATGAAATGAATTAAACCATGACTAGAGTATGCTTAGGGCATAGTAACTACAGTACTGTCTAAGTGCTAGCTGTTTTTACTGCTGTTCTAATTGTTTCACTTAAAATCAAAATTTTAGTAAATATCTCATAAACATTCTTTTAGTGGTTTTCAAATGCCTTGTAATAAAGTTTTATTTTCCATAAATTTTGTATCCTCCTAATAAGCTTTTACTTCTTCTCCCAACAGATGAAATTAAAGCTGAAATAGAAAAGCAGAGGTAAGCAATAGAACTTTGTCGCTGCTGAAATACAGCATGAGAGGGGCAGGTAGCAGCCATTCCCCCACCACTTTTTTTTTTTCAGTGTTGAGAATTAACTTGAGTACCCTATCATTGACCTACATCCCCAAACACACACCCTCTTTTCATTAATTTTGAGACAAGGTCTTGATAAGTTGCCCAGACTAGGTTCAAACGTACAATCTTTCCTGCCTCAGCCTCCCAAGTAGCTCATGTTATATTTGTGTGCTACTGCACCTGGTGTGGCCCTTTCTGTATATTCTGTATATTTTCTCTTGTTTCTAATCCTCAGGTATGGTACGCACTCCCCAGCACTGTGTTAGCACACAACAGAACATGACTGGTGCGTCTGAACTAACGCTGGGTTAATAGGTTACTGCCTCAGGCTTGCATCCTCCGAGGAGAGGTTACAGAGGGGCAAGTTAATGCTCCTGTATCCTTTCTTGAGAGAAGAGGCTGCGCCCTTGTCTTTTGGTTAGCATACTTACTGAAGACAGCAGGCAGTGCAAGTGGCTGCTGCTGATCTTCAGGGTATCGAATCCAGTTAATGACATTTTTGAGCTATAGCTGTAGCACAGCTGCTCCTAGGATACTGATGACTCAGGTCACTAATCAGACAGGCCTTGCTCTCTGTATGTGTTCCTTTGAGTTTCCTAAAGTTACATGTGTTCAACTTTTAATTGACTAACCCCAAGACATAATTTGTAGGCACTTTTAATTAAGTGGTTGCCAATGTAATGGGAAGTTAGGGGTAAGGCGTAGGGAAAGCAAGCTTAAAAAGTAAAACAAAACAAAAAACCTCTTCTCTGCCCTCTGTTGCTTTCCCTGCTAGGCTGGGCGCTGCAGCACCACCAAAGGCAAACTTCATTGAAGCTGACAAGTACTTTCTTCCATTCGAGCTAGCTTGCCAGTCCAAGTCCCCCCGAGTGGTCAGCACATCCCTCGACTGCTTGCAGGTACCATGTTTAGACTTGATGAGATAGAGGAGTTCCTGTCAGGTGACAGATGCTCCTTACATAGAGCCATGCTGGACATGGCCCTGGGCACTCCGCCTGCCATTGGAGGTGGAGAAAGGAGCAGTTACTCTTTGTGGAGATCTCATGGAAGAGGGGGAAGAGGGATCTGAGCTTCTTAGCTAAAATGGGAATTTGTTCCCTAGAAATACTTTGTTGCACTCTTTGATGTTACGTTTTTCTAGCATTATTTAAATTATTTGATACACACAAGCATATAAAGTACTTTTTATAGAGCCTCTTTTTTGGTGGTATTGTCATAATATGAAGTGTAGGAATATAGTCACATCCATTATTTATAGTAGTTATGTTCTATAATAAAGTCACTGTAAACATGAATTAGTGAATGTTGAAATACATATCGGGTTGGATTCCTGTGACTCTAGTCACAACATGTCCATTGGCTGATGTGTATATAACTTTATATCCTGTGATTCTTTTTTTTGTCTTTTTCCTTTTTATCAGTACCGGGGATCAAACTCATGACCGCCTGCTTGCAAGGCAGGCGCTTATGCTGCTGAGCTAAATCCCCAGCCCCTCTGTGATTCTTTTTAAAGGTGCCGTATTTAATAGGTATTGTTAATTCATTAACACTGAACTCCTGGCAGCAGCACCATGACACATCTGGGAAGACAGCTTATTTGAATACATGTAGTTTCTCCAGAGGCATATCATTGCCTTCTTGTTCTTAAACACTGGAATGCAATTCAGCACATGCCTAAGGGCCGTTGTGAAAAGCAAAATAGGACAAAAATGTGAAAAACATGGCACTAAATGTACTGCAGCTGAAGACACTTGTTGGCTCTGGAAAACTGAAACAAGGCAGAGTGTTCACGAGCTAGGACACAGGCATCACAGGATGCACATCTTACACTGCTCAGCAGATGTCCACAAGTGGCTGCAAAAGTTGCATACGTATTGATTTCGGGCTTTCAAATACATTTTAGTGAGTAGCTGCATTTGAAGTGGAGAGTCTGAAAGTGATGTAGATGGACTCGGTAGAGCTGCAGCAACTTCATTACCAGTGCTTTTTACTGATGAAGAAACAAGAATAGAAAAGTTAGGGTGACTTACCAACCAGTAGTGAAAGAACTGCTTCATCCTCCTGAGTAGCAGAGATTAAATACATGTGCTATTATACCTAGCTGCTGCTTGCTTTCATTAATAGTTTTATTCCTGTGTTTTCTCAAGGCATACTCCTAAAGCTTCTGATGAAATCTAAGGACTTTTTTTTCTTTTGGTACCTCGGTGGGCAAGTACCAGAACTACATCAATGAGAAAGTTGAATATTCAGTTTAAATATAATGAGGAGACACAGTTTGCCATTACTTTCTAGAACACAAAGCGTTGTGTTGAAAAGATATGTAAATCCTCATGCAAGTTTCTTGGGGGAAAAGTGCCGTCATCAATTGGTTATGTCTGTCAGGGCACAGGATTGCAAAGTGGCAGTGGGCATGCCACATTTTGGGCATCCTGAGTCTAATATTTACTCTGTTAATTTCTTTTCTTTGATATACTTGAGAAGTGATGAGTTTTTTCACAGAAGCAGCTTTTCCAAATGAAAAGCCATTTTTCTCATTCAAGATCACTTGTACAGATCGTTTTATGTGAAACATTCAATGAGCCAAGAATCTTTAAATGGCAGGCAAAGTCCTACTTCTGTCCTAAAATATATGATACTAGGAATGATTTCTGAAGAAATTTGAACTGAGTTTATTTTTAGTTGTTTTCTCTCCATGAGATGATTAGTTTGTGAGCTGGTGCTAGTGGTTATCTTACTGAGAGGAACTTGCATTGGCTCTCAACCTGTGTGGGCCTAAAGGCTTTGCCCACATTACCATGTTTAATCTTCTCAGTAACCCTCAGACATTGCTTCCGTCCTCATTTTAGAATCGAGGAACCTGAAGCTTAGAGAACAAAGTAAAGTGAACAGTCCATTCTGAGGTTTCCTGGCCAGGAATTGATGCAATTAGGGGTAGATATCTAGGACTTTCTGACCCCACACTTACATTCTTAACTGAGAGTTACTAGTTATGGCTTGTGAGCCAAATCTGACCTGCTGACTGGTTTTTTTGGGTTTTTGTATGGAGAATTGAACCCAGGGGTGCTGCACCATTAAGCTACATCCCCAGCTCTTGTTCCTATTTTGAAACAGAGTTTTGCTAAGTTGTACAGACTGGGCTGAAACTTCCAATCCTCCTGCTTCATCCTCCTGAGTAGCAGGGAATAAATAAATGTGGTACCATACCTAGCTGCTGCTTGCTTTCATAAATAAAGTTTTATCAAAGCATTCACATCTCAAGTTGGTATTTTGTAGCAAAACACTGTATATTAGTATGGCTTAAATATCACATATTTATTTCTCAAAGGTTCCGGAGGCTGGGTAGTCCAAAACCAGGTCTTGATTATTTGCTTCCTAATGAAGACCCTCTTTCTGGCTTACAGCCTGCTAAGCTAGCTAAATCTCTTATTAAGTACTTACCTCATCATGAGGACTCCCTCCCTCATGATCTTTCAAAGCCAAATTATCTTCCAAAAACTCAAGTTCCTAATATCATCACATTGGAGATGAGAACTTCAAGTTAGGGGTTTGGAGAGGAAGAAAACACACTTTGAGTGCATAGCAACGTTCACATCCATTCATCTATGTGCCCATGTTTGCTTTTCTCCTCCTGTGACTGAGGTGCATGGTTGCAATGGAGATGACAGGACCCACACAGCCTAAATATTTAGTACATGATGTTTTACAGAAAAAAATTGTGAACCCTTGCTCTTTACTATTACTTGTGGTTCTGGCCTCTTTAATAACGGAAATAATCTGTATCTAGAACTCCATATATATATGTATGTCATTTGTTCTGCTTTATTTCACCCCACTGAGAATATTGGGCTTAAGGTGTATGGTCATCTTTCTTTTTAGAATGGAGTTCTCTGGAATTTAATAGGTAAATTAGGGTTTCTTTGCTTAGTATACGGTTGTAAAATGTGTCATCCCTTTTATGACATTAGAAAGTGGCTGGGCGTTCCCTGGGTTACTGAATGAAGAGCTGTACTTCCCCTTCCCCTTTGTTGGCTATCTTGCTAACCCTGTTTGATTGCAATTTCTCAGAGTTGAGTGAGGGAATTCTGTCTTGGAAAGGAAGGCCAGGGTATAGGGATAAAGTCTGGTTTGGGCAGAATCTAAGCTAGCTGCAAGAGAAGTCCATACTGTGGTTGTTACTCATTTAGCTTGGAGTGATGATAGGAGCAAAGATGGTCCGGGTTTTGGTTTGCCCTGAGCCCATTTAGCTCAGATTCCCTCTCCCCACTGGGAAAAGGGTGGAAACCTCCCTCTGCTGACTTGTCGAACAGTAAGGAGTCCCCTGTGTTCCTTTCATTCAGATCTTGGTCCATTACATGCTTTGCCAGTACCAAGGTTCAGGTAAACGGGACTGGGGTCAGTCTTTCCTACCTAAAGTTTTGCTGGTCACATATTGATAATAAGAATTTTTTCATTATCCTAATATATTCATATTTCTTAAATTTAAAATTTTATATGTAAGCCCAGGTGTGGTGGCACATGCCTGTAATACCAGCACTTGGAAGGCTTAGGCAAGAGGATTGTTCCAAGTTGGAGACCAGCCTGGGCTACAAGCTCAAGGCCAGCCTGAAACGCATAGTGAGATCCTGTCTCAAAAAAGAAAAAAATTCTTATTAAAGTTTATACACTTATTAACGTTTATACAGTATAAGCATACAAATATAAAAGTTTTTTTCTTTTTGGCACTGGGGATTGAACCCAGGGCCTTGTGCATATTAGGCAAGTGCTTTACCACTGAGCTAAATCCCCAGATCTTTTTATTTTTATTTTTATTTTTATTTTTGAGATAGAATCTCATTAACTTGCCCAGGCTTTCCTCAAACTTGTAATCCTCCAGCTTTAGTCTCCCCAGTACTGGGATTACAGACATACATTACCACAAAAATAGAATTTTTAGAAGCACAAGATAAAAATTAATTCTCTTTATACTTCTCAAAGAAATTTGTAGGAAATCATTGGTATGAGCTGTTCTAAAATCACAAGTATTATCTATTGCACTTATTTCCAGAAAACTTTGTGTACATTTAAAACTGAACTTAAATGGTTTATATTTTGTTTTCTTTTAAAAAGTATTTAAAACTTTACATGTAAGATTGAAATCCCTTGAGCCACCATAAAACCAGTTGCCTATTTAGGTTTATAATTCTCATTCTTCTGTTTCTGTAAAACCAGTTGCCTATTTAGGTTTATAATTCTCATTCTTCTGTTTCTGTAAAACCAGTTGCCTATTTAGGTTTATAATTCTCATTCTTCTGTTTCTATTTTACCTTTTTCTATAGATATCACCTGTACAAATGTTTCTGCAGCTTACTTTTTATATTGAACGGTGTTCCCTGTACAGTGGGTCCAATGAAGGCCTGCTACAGTGTTTTATATTTTCTCATCTTTACTTCTGTGCCAAGACTTGCTTGTGCCAGCCCCCTTCACCACGTGCATCAGGGGCCAGCTAGCCAAAGGCCTGCTCCTCTGTGCTTCTTCTCGGGTACAGGCAAGAACGAGGCAAGAACTCACCAGGGTGGCCAAAGGGAAGGAGGAGTCGGGGATGTAGTATCTACAAATCACACAGAGCCTTAAAGGTCCCATTCAGCTTTGGCTTTGATTCACCCACTCCTGAAAATATAAACTATGAGAAATAAAGTCACATCTGTTATACTTGCAGTGCCTGTGGCACAGGAGGATGAGAAAGTGAGATTAGAGAGACCCACAGGATGTAGGAGCTCTGCTTGTTCTTTATTCCTGTCTCACTGCACAGACAGGAGGTAAAATCATACTGAAAACCCCTTTCAGGTTAAAGTGTATTGTGTCCGCTTAAGGAATCCAGTGTCTGCTTGCAGCCTCAGTATTATGGTAACTCCTGTCTGTCTGTCTGTCTGTCTGTCTGTCTCTCTCTGTGTGTGTGTGTGTGTGTGTGTGTGTGCTGAGACTCAAACCTTGGGCCTTGTGCATGCTGACCTTGTGCTCTGCTACTGAACCACCTGCCAGGCACCTACATTCCAGCATTCTCATTTAGAAGTTGCTGTCCCATTCACATTGCAGTGCCCACCACAGATTTGAGCTTATCGGGAGTAGGAGTAACAGTGTCAAAACCACTGCTTGCCTACCAGGCAGCAGCCCTGCCCTGTAGGAGACTGTGCATTAGCAGCAGGGCGGGTGCTGAGGTGACAGGCTCTGGACTTGACCCCCACATTCCACACCCTTGCCTGGGGGTCTTGATGGGGGGCCTTGGGCAGCACAAGGGCACAATCCTCACTCCACTCCTGCTCCTTTAGTCACTTGAGCCAGCAGAGTCCTATTTCTGCTCTCAGCCTCTCTCTTCATTTGTTTTTCAGTTTGTTTTTTTGAGTGGTGGCGCTTTGTAGCTAATGATGGGGGAAAGTTACTGAGAACTGGGGTCAGGACTGCAGAATGGCCTGTCTTTCTTCCACGGTGGTGGCAATACTGTGGGTAAACACAGGAGTGCTCATCTGCTTTGTGCAGGCGGAGGTGAGGATATGACCAATTAGAAGCCCAAAAGGATAAAGAATGGAATAGTATTTTTGAGAATTTTCACCAGCTTACTAAAAGCAGAGAGTATTTCAAGATCCAGCACCCTTTATCTGGTCAGCCATCAAAATAATCCTGATAGTTTGGAGAATAATACTGATTCGCAGGCTCTGCCGCCCCCCCCCCCCCGATTTCTGGTTCAGAAGGTCTGGGTTAATGTTCTGGAATTTGTATTTTTAACAAGCTCCTTCAGATGATCCTGGTCTCAGCCAGGTTTAGAGATCATCCTGACCTCTGAGGTTCCCTGGCCTTTAGGTTTTCCATGCTGAAGTCAAAGTCATGAGTGAGGTATCCAAACTGACCTGTAACCAGACAGAGAGGGCATGGCCAAGCAGCCACATCGGTCCAGTTACAGGTAGCACACATTATTTGATAATGCAGATGTGGAATGCAGTCACCGCCTTTATTTTAACTTTTGGAATAGAAAATACACAGATATAACTCAGCATTCCGTAAGAATGGAAAGTAGAAAGTGCCTTAGTTTTATCCTTGCTGTGACTGCTTAGTTCTCTTCCTCTTTGGTAGAACATGTTACCTTTAATGTGCCACCCTCTCACTGTGCTCCAAAGAACCTCTCATCATCTTTGTCTTTAGTATGGTTATTAGTGCCCTAGAAATTGTGTGTTGGGAGTGTTCTGTGCCTTGCTATTGCCATCGGACACTGTGTCACCACTGCTGGGATTTTCAATTGCCGGGAGATAGGAGGTAGCAGCATACAGAGTGGTTATGCCTGCCTGGCTCCTGAGAGAGAAGCATCTCTAGAAACTGCCTGCCTGACTTTTGCCATCGTGGGCAGCTTTGATACTGGCCAGGCCGAAACTTCTGATCTGTCTTTTTTCTGTGTTTAGAAACTCATAGCATATGGACACATCACAGGCAATGCCCCCGACAGCGGAGCCCCAGGGAAGCGACTGATCGACAGGATTGTGGAAACCATTTGCAATTGTTTTCAGGGCCCGCAGACAGATGAAGGGGTTCAGTTACAAATTATTAAGGTATTTCTGTTTGTTTGCCTGATCTGGGTTTAAAATTTAAAAAGCTGGTCCCCTTTGGGAATATGAGGTATAAAGTTAATCATGCGTTAGTTGTCTCAGGTGGCACTGTGCTGGAACAGAAACATTTAAACATTACTTGGATCTTTTATTAAGTGTCAGAATGTGTTAGCATATCCTGAGACCAGAAGAGCAGAACCAAGTGTATTTTCACAGTAAACAGTTCCACTGATAATATTGTAAGTCAACTGTGAGTTAAACTGACTCAAACCCCCCTGATCTTTCCCCTTGAAAAATCCAAATTGCCAGCCTGCCATTTCTCAGCAGGTCTTCAGTACTGATAGCACCAGCTTGCCCTGTGCCTGTGTCCTGCGGTCTGCTTCCTCGTGCCACATCAGCTGCCAGGGATGGATTGGCATGAGATGGGACCATCTGCTTGTCAGGGAACAGGAGCAAGATGGACATGGCCAATCCTCTGAATCTTTGCTTCTACATACTTTAGTTATGTGAGGACAGCCACACCTCCCTCGAAGTCCCCTGAAACACACCAGTGTTGCCCTTTGAAACATGAGTGTTTTTTGGTTTGCGTAGGTAAGATCAAGTGGAAGCATTTTTTTCATCCTGAGAGAAGTGCCTGTAATTTTCATTCTAGATTTTTCAGTCAACATTAACACAAGTTTGGCTTTTTAAAAAGTGAGTCAGTAAAAACCTACTTTGATACAGCATAATTACTTCAAGTAATTTGTGTATTTGGAAGTTAGTAATTGCTTTTAAATGCAGAAGTTGGTACTTAGTACTGATCCATCCAGTTTAGTTTGCAGAGCCATCTTTGAATTTATAAAGAATAGCAATAAAGCCCACTCCTAGGAAAGTTTAGCCAGGGAGGACCAGGAAGAAGGTAAGTGTTCGTGAAGGTGACAGTTTCTGATCTGTTTTAGGCTCTTCTGACTGCAGTGACTTCCCCACACATTGAAATTCATGAGGGCACCATCCTGCAGACAGTGAGGACATGTTACAATATCTACTTGGCCAGCAAAAACCTCATCAATCAGACTACTGCCAAGGCCACCCTCACTCAGATGCTGAATGTCATCTTTACCCGCATGGAATACCAAGTGGTGAGTGGCACCCCTCCCACCAGTGGGGCAGGCAGATGTCATTGTTGCCTTTGAACTGTTTCATACGGGCCTCAGTGTGTGTGCAGGATCGCTAGCACTTCAGAGTTTTACTTTTTTCTCTCTTAAATTCTCTGTGCTGTGGTGGTTTTTTTTGTTTGTTTGTTTTGTTTTGTTTTCTCACTTTAAAATTGGAGAGAGAATCCTGTGTGGGGGTTTTGAAGTTTGTGTTTAAATTGGCTTGGAGTTTGTCACATTAAAAGTTTCCTTGAATTTCCTTTTGAAATTTTTGTCTTGCTGGTTGGAAAATTTTTAAGCAATAGGCTAGCATAATTTTTATTCTATACCAAGATAGTAAGTCCAAATCACATTTAAGTCATATGTTTCTCTGTTGCCTTTTAGTTGCAGGAGGCCAGGGAATTAGAAAAACCAATCCAGTCAAAACCCCAGTCCCCTGTGATTCAAGCTGCAGCAGTGTCTCCAAAGTTCAGTCATTTGAAACAGAGCCAGGCACAGAGCAAACCAACAACGCCGGAAAAAGCAGATCTACCCAATGGTGAACATGCGAGGAACGACCCTGGGAAAGCGAGCTCGGAAAATGGAGATATATGCAGAGAAAGGGGCCCCTCGTTCTCAGGTATGGCAGAGCTTTCAAGGGTGAGCCGCATCCTCTCATCACTAAGGGGCACATAAAGGCGGTGTCTGGTAACATCTGAAGGCACCAGGTGACTCAGGAAGAAATGAGATGAATTACAGACAGGACAGATATTCCGTGTAGAACAGCCAGCCTGACTGAAGAATTATTTAACAGAATTATCTGGGCAGCTGCTCTGTTTCTGGGTCTTGTCCTGGACCTCCGCCTTGCTTTTCTCTTCTGGAACAGCCAGCGAAGCGTGATGCGTGATGTCCATTGCCAGCTGTACAGTCTTCTCAGAACAGTTCCTGGAATGGATCTCACTGCCACCTCTTTACATGAGTCCAGTGCTGAGGCTCAGTTTGGGCACTTACCTCTGTGGCAAATTAATTGGGTGATTAGCTATCCATTTCCTGTCTTCTCTGTCCAGAAGAGAGTGAAGGCCTCATTTTTCCTATACACACTGGATCCCTGGATCCCTGGATCCCTGGATCCCTGGATCCCTGGATCCCTGTGCCTCGCTTAGGGCCTGACAGTTAGAAGCCACTCATAGGCCTCACTGGAGGAATCAGAATGCTGGATGGGAGGATCGACAGAGCTCACCAAGGCTATCAGCAAGGCTTTGTTTGATTTTTTAAACAAAACAATATTCAGTATTCTAGTTAAAGTAAATGAATCTAAAGCATGAAATCTTAGAAAAGAGGGTTACCTGAGCCTACTTTTAAACGTTTGCATCTCCTTCTGGATATAGTATATACACCAGATTCAGACATTTTCTTTCCAGCTGGGCACAGTGGCGCACATCTGTAATCTCAGCACACAGAGGCCAAGCAGGAGGATCACCATGAGTTCAGGGCTAGCTAGGACTACATAGTGAGTTTAAGCTTGAATTACAGAGAGTGACCCTGTCTCAGAAAGTAAAAATAAAAAGTAAATTTCAGGAATCTGCCTTTCCCAGATAATTCTGTTAAATAGTTCTTCACTCAGGCTGGTTGTTCTACACAGAATATCTGCCTTGTCTATAATTCATCTCATTCCTTCTTTGGTCACACAACTGGTGATAATTTTTGTTGACAGTATCTTCCCTTCCAAAGTGCATATATTTGAGCAGCTTTTTATTCCTTTATGATTTGCCAGAGTGCTTGTCATGCAGTGGCATGGAAAAGGAGTAAGTGTTGCTGGAATGGTCTGTGTCTGTTTACTCAGGGAAAGCACAGAAGAAGAAGTTACCACTGAGAATTGCATGTGTTTCAGGGCAAGCAGAGTAATCTGCTCACTCTTCCTGCTGTGTGTCTTAAGGAAGGTCTCAGAAATTTTCTGCTCACCTACTGTGTGTTGTTGCCTTTGCCTTTCTGACCCTTAGGGCAAGGGTTTTTCACTATAACCCTTATCAAGCTGTGATCAATCAGTAAATATTAATATTTAAACATTATAGTAAGTATAGCTATGCAGATAGAAAGCACTTCTGTCTGAGCTTCATGAAAAGTACTTCCTCTGTGACCCATTTTCTCTATAGAAGCCAAAGTGATCTCTTAAAAGCATGATGATATGACCCTGCCCTGCTCAAACCCTTTTGGTAATTGCTGCACCCTACCCCTTCCAGAGTGCAATTCATGCCTGCCTTGCTCCTGTGCTTTGCAAAGCTCTGTGTGGCTGGGCCCTGCCCGCCTTTTGTGATTCTGTTTGCTGCACAGTGCCAGAAGCAATGCTTGTCCTGCCTCTGTGTCTTTATACTTAACATCCATTCTTCATTTCTACTCTTTGCTTATCTTGGTTCTCTTTTGTTCAGAATGAGACCCACTTCCCTGGTGATCCATAATGCCTGTCTTGCCGTCTTTTCTTATTTTCTTCATAGAATGAATAAATGTCTGAAATTACTGAAGTATTTGTGTTTACTTGTTCTCACCTGGAATCTAGGCTATTATGTTCATGTCTGTATTCCCAACACTGGAACAGGGTCTGGCGCCAATAGCAAAATCTCAGTAAATACATCTTTGAATGAAATGGGAAGAACATGACTTCTAGAATTTAGTTTTAAGGTGTTGCTATAGATTTGGTTGTACACTATGAGGCTTTGGCCAGGATCATGGGACTCAGGTTGCCTATGAGAATTGAGACCAAAACCCTGCAAATCATGGATCAGAACAGAGGTGTGTGCTGTTTTTAAAAACAACAAATAGCTTTCAGTTCTCAAGATTTAATTTTGCTTCCAGGAATGAACACTAGTGAAGGCTTTAACTAATTGCAGCTACTTTCAATATTGTTGGTTGGAAATTTTTAGCATGTACTTCATCTCCAGGGCTAGGCAGGTGACAGAAATAAACAATCTGCCATCATGAGGGATTGTGAATGTCCTCACACAAACACACTCTGCAGTTGTTGATACATAAAGTGCCTAGGCTCATGAAAGTCAACATGGGAATTTTCCTTTTCTTTTCAGAGACCATTTGAAATACTGTGTATTTTGTCTTATTTCTCACCTGACTCTTGCTTACTAGCAGGGGAATTGACACTTAGGAGGTTGAGTCACTTCCCACACCTGGTTGTGGCTGAACAGAGACCTAAACTAGGAGACCTGCCGGCTCCAGGGCACTGAGTCTTAATCAGCATGTTGAATTCACTTCACAAGGGACCATTTTCTCTGATGCTCTTTCATTTTTCCCACTCCTGGCAGGCATGTTACTTTGTTACCATATCGTAACCCCAGTCCAAGTATGATGGCAACTGGCACTGGGCTCCATGGAAAGGACAGTGCAGGGTGGGTAAGGATGAACCACAGGATCTGCAGAGCTTAGGTCCTGGCCTAAGAGGACAACTGTCCTGGCCCCAGCCAGCTATAGCCCAGTGTTGCCACACTGTCAAGTTTTTAAGTAGAAGCCAGAACTGTTTTGGGTTTTTATGTTTGCTTGTTTTTTTGGAGGGGGACGGGGAATCAAACTCAGGACCTTGCACTTGCCAAACAGGTGCTGTGCCACTGAGCTGTTTCTCTGGCCTCAGATATGGTTTTCTTACTAACTAGTTTCTCAGTTTATAAATGTTGGCAGCTATTTTAAACATTTTGAAAAGTAATATGTACGCTGAAGGGCACATACTTGTAAGCCAGTTATGTCTATCTGCTAAATAACTTACAGAGTCTCTGATAAAGTGAGTGGGTGTTTTGGGTGTTGAATATGAACAAAGTACTTTGTAGCAGACTGCACACATTAGAGGTTGCCCCCATAATTTTATTAAATAATCATGTCAGAGAGTGCTGAAACTTAGAAACATGTGCCACATCACGGTGTAAGTGAGATGATTTTAGATAGTTCACAAGTGTGCAGTTATTTTAATAGTTACACATTTATATTAACATGCACTTAGAAAATATAAGTAGTACATCAAAACTTAACTTTCTGAATTTCATTACCTAAGATGAGTTAATAAAAAATTTTAAAAGGACTAGGAATGTAAAGATCAGGCCCCAATAGCCCCTCCCCACACATACACGTGAGTTAATTTGAAGTGTAATGTTAGACAGAAGGCAGAATTAAGTTACTTTGCTTTTGTTTAAGGTGGTGGCCTTTTTGGTTAGAGTGGTGTTTTATAAGTCCGTAATAGTTATTATTACTAAAAATCTATAGTCAAATGCTGCTTACTTCATAAACTGCTTTCCCGGTCTCATTTTCTTAAAAAAAAGGGGGGGGGGTGTTGCTGAACCTCTTCCACTTAAATAGTTACCATTTTGCAGAATAATTCTGTTTAAAGGTTAGTGAATCCTAAACTGTCACATTAGAAATCCTTTGCTAAATCCTAGGTTGGCAGTGAGGGAGAATGGAGCAGCAGGCTCTGCAGTGAGGGTCTCAAGGCAAAGACACAAGAGAAAGCTGCTGCTTTTGTTTTGCCAGGAACTGTGGCTGGATGAAGTCTAGCTGCCACCCCCAAGTTGGTGTGGAGAGGTGCCAGGCTGAGCAGCAGGGACTCAGGCAGGAAGAGAATAAGGTGGAGGTGTTAGTTCCATGAAGCAGAACTCAGAGCACGTGCTGCCTTAAAGGTTTCTGAATTTCAACACACAGTGAAATTTGACCTGGGGAAGAACTTACTTGGACCCTTTGCCTTTTGAAGTGTGATTGTAGAAGAACATGGTTGTAATCTTCTTCCCCTTCTTTCTTTTCCCTGGGAATGCCGCATGTGTGTTTGGGTGTATGTAGGGTCTGATGATGGAGCCCAGGCAGTGGTGAAGGACATTTTAGAAGATGTGGTCACATCTGCTGTCAAAGGTAAGAATCAAGGACAACGTGGCTTTCATGGGGCCTCATTCCTCCAAAATGTCCTTGGGCCAGTCACTTAGAAGTGGGGTTTCCTCTTCCCAGTCTAATAAAGTAAGTGACAGAGCTCACGGGAACTGAATCTGCTACTGCCTGCCTTTCTTTCACATGGGTCTCAAAAGTGGCCTGGCCTTAGGGGTAGTTTTGTTCATGGAGCATAGTCTGACCGAGGTAGGGTTGGGGTTGCCTCCTGGAGACATGGAGGCCACTCTGCATCCCTTCTGTTGGAGGCTGCCAGGTTTCTCTAAATAAACTGTAGCCTGAGATCCGTGTTCATCCCTGCTGAATTTTCACAGCTGTTGAGATGCCAAGAGGATATTCCACATGTCTACAGGTCTCAGGTATATTGTTCAACTTCATACAGAGCTCCCCTCAGTTTCTTGGTTACACTTGTATAGTCTATAATGACTGTTGGTGATTCTTTTCTTCGTTTTTGCTCCAAATCTCAAGTCAGTGGCTTTGTGTTGAATCCATGATTCCACTGCCAGTAGTGGTTTACAGTCACTATATTTTTTTTAAACACTAAGGAAAAAAATGAACCTGGTGTAGTGGTGTATACATACGTGTAATCCCAGCACTTGAGTGGCTGAGGCAAGAGGATCACCCTGAGTTCAAAACCAGCCTCGGCTACATAATAAGTTCAAGGCCAGCCTGAACTACATTGTGAAACCCTGTCTCAACAGCAACAACAAAAAGAAACAATAAAATGAAATAGAATACAAATGATCTATGTCACAGATAGTGATGTTAAGAGTTTTTTCATGTGGGCGTGCTGGCATCCACCTGAAACTCCAGGACTAAGAGAAGGAGGCAGCAGAAACATTGCAAGTTCCTGTCCTGCCTGGGCAATTTAGCAAGGCACTGTCTCAAGATAGAGTCAAAAGGACGGGGGATAGAGCTCAGTGGTAGAGCATTTCTGAGCTCATTCATCATTACCATACTTTATATATATCATAAAGCATGTTTCTGTATTGGAACATGATTTTCAATATTAATTTCTTACTAAAGTCATGATCTTTTTTTTCCCCCAGTGTCAGATGGAATGCAGAGCCAGGGATTTAGCTCAGCAGTGTAAGTGCCTCCCTGGCAAGCACAAGGTCATAAGTTCGATCCCTGATACCAAAACGAAAAACGAAAACCAGAAACCAACAATAGGTGGAATGCAGTTTACCCATGCTAACCAAATACTTTATCACTGAGCTACAGCCCTAGCCTTGGGTCATAATTTGAAAGCCATTTTTCAAAACCCTATCTTTTTTGCCAAATTAGGCTACCACAAAGCTGTAAGTTACATTATTTAACTCCTTGTAGAAATGTCATTAAAAGAACATACTTGGGAGGCTAAGGCAGGAGCATCATCACGAGTTTGAGGGCAACTGGGCTACAGAATGAGTTTAAGGCCAGCCTAAATTATACAGTGAGACTTTGTCTGAAAATACCAAAAAAAAAAAAATTTTTTTGCATAATCTTATTTTGTGTGATTAGATATGTCTCTGGAGTCTAAATTTATCACAGAATTGGTGCTTGTGTGCCTTGTTCATTGCTATATCCTCCAACCTGTGCCACACCCAGTCACATAGCAGGCACTTGATAAATACTTGTTGAATGAGTGTCTACTTTTTTGGATTGTTTAGTATCCTTTAATGGATGTAAATAGCCACATGATAAATTCCTCTTAGAGTTTCATTGTTCTGCTAATCAGATATTCTTTCTTTCATTAAATGATGAAATTTAAAAAATTCTTTCTTTTTTCACATGCTGCCAGGAAGCTCAGGTCTGTTTTTCTCTGTAATTAAGGTTTTCTGTCCTAATGGCTGTCCTCTAATTCCTGTGTCTGTGATGGTGAACCTCTTAGAGACGAAATCTCCAAACTGCAAACCAGAATCCACTTATTTATTTCAAAGTGCCAACTCTGCAACAAAACCTGAATATTGGGCTGGGTGAGGTGGCACATACCTGTAATCTGAACACTTGGGAGACTGAGGCAAGAGGATTGCTGTGAGTTCAAGGCCAATTTGGGCTACATAGTGAGTTCAGGACCAGTCTGAACCACATATGCATGGTGAGAACCTGTCTCCAAAAAACAAAAAGAAATCTGAAGTTTTAGTTTAGAAAAATAATTTATACATTAACATCTTTTGTCTTAAAAGAAAAACAAATAACATGTACCATCAGTTCACCACCACTGACTTACATTAATAGTCCTTTAAATAAAAGTCTTTGCTTTTTAGATTTAGCTGCTTGCAATCTTTTTAGAAGTGGATGGGGCGGGGGCTGGGGATTTAGCTCAAACGGCATAAGCATCTGCCTTGCAAGCAGGCGGTCATAAGTTCGATCCCCGGTACCGGTAAAAAGGAAAAAGAAAAAAAAAAGAAGTGGATGGGGCAGGTGGGCCGCTGCATTAAGCAATTCTGGAGGTACCATTGACATACTTTCAGTTTGCCTGAACCCCCCGAAGGACTCGTGCATTGCCAGGTACAGTTTAAGCACCACCTTGGCCCAGCCTTATGTTCCTGAGATAGTGGGAGAGAAAGGGGAAGGAAGATCAGTAGTGAGGGCTATGTGAGTAACTTCTTTCTGGTGTCAGGCAGCCTTTGGGGACACATACTGATTTGGGGATGACCTTTGTACTTGTGTTTTCAGAAGCAACAGAAAAGCATGGTTTGGTGGAACCCAACAGGCTCCTAGGTGGACTAGACTGCCAGGAATGTGCCGTTCCCCCAGGAATTGATGAAAACTCACAGACCAATGGCATAGCAGATGACAGGCAATCCTTGTCCTCTGCAGATAATCTGGTATGTTGGCAATCACCCTACTTAGAGGCATTTCCATTTTTCCTTTTTTAGAATATACAGAATTAAATCTCTAACAAATGAAGTGAGTACCTGGGTGTGTTAAGGTATGCCTTTAATCCCATCTGCTTGGGAGGCTGAGGTAGGAGGATCATGAGACTATCCTGGGCAGTTTAGTTAAGACCCTGACTCCAACTAAAAATGTTTTGCGGTTATAGCAAATATTTGAACATCTCTAGGTTTAATCCCAGTATCTATATTTCTCTGTCTGTCTCTGTCTCTCTCACATAGATACACATACACACAAAGAAAAATGTGTAGGGGCTGGGGATTTAGCTCAGTGGCATAAGCACCTGCCTTGCAAGCAAGCGGTTGTGAGTTCGATCCCTGGTACCGGTAAAAATGAAAAAGACAAAAAAAAAAAAAAAAAGAAAAATGAGTAAAATAAGCAAGCCTTTTTGGTTATTATTCACATGATCATGGTCTAATATTCTTTGTATTTTTCTGTTAGGAGATTTAGTTCTTGGAGCATGCTAATGTCAGTTGTATATAACACTTACTAAAACTTTTTGTCGGAACCTTTAAAAATTTAAATTTCCTGGGGCTGGGGATTTAGTTCAGTGGCATAAGCACCTGCCTTGCAAGCAGGCGGACGTGAGTTCGATCCCCGGTACCGATAAAAATGAAAAAGACAAAAAAAAAAAAAAATTTAAATTTCCTGCCATTTCTTTTCTCTCTCAAAATAATATGAAATTATTATATAGCCAGGCATGGTGGCACACACCTGTAGTCCCAGCACTTGGGAGGCTGAGGTGGGAGGATCACTGTGAGCTCAAGACTAGCCTGGGTTATAATGTGAGCTCAAGGCCAGCCTGAACTGCGTAGCAAGACCTTGTCTCAAAAAAGGCAAAAAAAAAAAAAAAAAAGAAAGAAAAAGAAAAGAAAAGAAAGAAAGGAAGAAAAAAGACATTATTATATAAAAATTTAAAAATATAGAGGAGAAAAAATAGTTTCTTTACATTGGAAAGTCAGTAGTAAGTCATCGTTTTGTTTATGTCCTTATAGACTTTCCCTCTTTGTGATTTTTCCTACCTAAGTAGTATCATACAATATATATGCTATGGTATATAACCTACTTTTTTTTTTTTGGTGCTGGAGTTTGAGTCTGGACTTCACTGATGTCAAGAATGGGATCATCCAGTATGCTCCCAACCTATAGAAATGATGGTATAAACCTATAATTCCAGCACTTGGGAAGGATTGCAAGTTCAAACCCAGATGTGCAATTTAATGATTTAGACTGTCTCAAAATAAAAAAGGACTTGGGATGTAACTCGGTGTGAAAGCCCCTGAGTTCACATTAGTGAAATAAATAAGACCTGAGTAAAGATGATATTGACTCATTAACATAAGAAACTGAAAGAAACAACATATGTATGTATATGTATATAAAAAATAGTTGGGGGCTGGGGATTTAGCTCAGCGGCATAAGCAAGCAGGCAGTTGTGAGTTCGATCTCCGGTACCGATAAAAAGGAAAAAGACCAAAAAAAAAATAGTTAAGATAGTTATACAAAAAAAAAAAAGAAAAGAAAACCCCTAAATTCAATTCCCCAGCACTGAAAAGCAAAGTCAAAGATTAAAAAAACTCCACATATGTTATTAATGTCCTTTCAGGCCCATAGATGGGTCTGCTACATTTTTTTAAATAATAGCTTTATTATTCCTTTGAAAATTGTTACATATATCCAAAGTAAGAAATAATAAACATGAACATTCCTCCAAATCCCAATTTGTACATCTCTAGTGTTTTTCAACCATTTTCATTATCACATGCTTCCCACCCCCAGTGATCTGTTTTAGACCTTTTATTCTCCTAAACCCCATCCCTTCCATGAAGTCTCAAGGCAGCTGATAAACTGAGTATCTGTGTACTGTATATGTATCTATGCATAAGATTTTAGTACCAGGGATCAAACTGACAACCTCACACTTGCCCTCACACTTGCTACTGAGCTAAATCCCCAGCCCTATGCATAAGATTTTTTCACTCTCCAAGAACCAGTTTTTGTCCCCTTGGGGTTTTATTATCCCCACAAATGTACCTAAAGGGCATACTTCAATCCTTTTCAAGGAACTTAAATCTGATATTCTGGGCTGTGGCTTGCTTTGTTCATGTAAAACTGTATCATGAATTCTTTCTCTGTCCATGCAAACAGATCTAACTAATATTTTTCTCCAAAAGGCTGAGAAGCAAGGAATCTAACTAAACTTTTTAATGTTAATGTGAAATTTTATATTGTTTGTGGCCAATTAATTCCCTATTAAGTTTTAGATAATTTACCATAGGACAATTTAAAATGAACATCCTTTAGGTAAATCTTGCACACAATTAATTCTTTTTTAAGGATAGATTTCTGTAAGTGGTAATCACTGGAGATCAAGGTTTGGAAACCTGGGGGTTGAAGTGTAGCTAAGTGGTGGAATACTTGAATAGCTTGCACAGTGCCTTAGGTCTGATCCCCACCTCCCACCCCCCAAAAAAGAGTTGAAAACTTCAATACTTTTGATCCTAACCACCAAATTGATCTTCTGGGAAAGGATTGTTCAAATCCCTGCTCACCCTTAGGTTGCCAGGTGAATTACTTCATTCATGTGTTTTGCTTGTTTTTCATTTGGGAGAAGGGTTTCTGTATTTCCTATGAACTCTAAGAACTTATATATGTAAAAGCTATTAATTCTTATTATACTTCATAAATATTTACTTATTTTTAATGTAGTTTACTTTCTTAAAGAAGCTTATTTTAAAATGTCTTATTTTTTCTCCTGTATCCTGCAATAGTATTCTTAGAAATACATTTCCGACACAAGTTAATTGCTTATCGTTTCTTTTTAATATTTAACTTTTGATCATCTGTCATTTTAAATCATCTATCACCTGTTGAAGAATAAGCACCATGGTTTAGAATTTTGCTTTAATGTCTCCAGAGTAGCAACTCTTTTGCCAGTCTCCCCTTTGGTACATTCTTTCTACCTACTGAATAAATATAAGAATTTAAATTTCCGTGAGATAATTACATTTTTTTTATTTTTGAAAAGAATTATCTTTCTGTTTTGCCCATTTGGTGTTTCTTTTGTTTCTAATCGTAGGACTCTGATGCACAAGGACAGCAAGTGGCTGCTAGATTCTCCCATATTCTACAGAAGGATGCCTTCCTGGTGTTTCGCTCCCTGTGCAAGCTGTCCATGAAGCCCCTTGGGGAAGGCCCTCCAGATCCAAAGTAAGGACAAAGCTGTTCTTGGTCGTCTACAACTTAGTGACGCAGGAGCACAAAATTCTGTGTCGATCTTCCACTAGTTCGCCCAAGTCCCAGTGCTAGAACCCCATGTGGACCTGGGATGGTTTTGCCACTTTCCAGACTCACGCATTCTCCACTGCCCCTTCTTACTGAATTATCTATATCCACTGCTGGTTTCATTGTTTTATATGTTAAAAATAATTAGCATACTGAACATGTACTTTTTGTGTACTGGTTAATGGATTTACTTTCCTAATGGAGGGTGGAGGATATGGAAGGACCGCAGTCTTCTCCTGAGACTGCCTACAGTCTCAGTTCTCAGCCCTGCTTGGAATCCTCAGCTTTATGGTGAGATTTATGCCAGGGAAGGCAAACATTTCTCTGTAGTGAACAAACCAGCCCAAGGGTGTCAGGACTATGGGGCGTGGGAAACAGAGGCTTTGGATCCAGGAGAACTTTATTCAGATCCTCGCTTCTGGAGAGCAGCTCTATGGCTATACAAGTGATTGAACCTCAGCTAAAAAATGCAAACATGGAAAATCACTCTACAGTATTGATTAAATGAAATGAGACAATGAAATGTGGTCCTGACCACAGGGCCATGCACTTTATAAACAGTCAGTATTATTAGTCACTAACAATCTTCAACTAGTGAGGCCATCCTTGTGGTGATGAAGTAGGACAAAGATCTCTGCCTCACACAGATGACGGGAGGTATATGTCCATGTCAGTTCAGCCTCAGAGCTGGCTCTTCAGACCCAATTGATATTCGCTTTACCCTCTGCATTCATTTGTTTGTTTATTTGCTTGTTTTTTAAGACAAGTTCTCTCTGTATAGTTCAGCCTGGACTCGAACTCATGGTGATCCACCTGTCTTTGCCTCCTGAGTGAGTGGTGGGATGACAGACAAGTGCCACCACTCCCAGCCTTGTCTGCATTCTTTGTGTGGGAAGAGGCAAGAGCACAGGACTTGGCTTGTTCTCAGAGAGCCTGCCTCATTCTCCCAGCACTCGGGTTCTGTTGGAAAATCTTAACTCACTGGCCGCAGAAAAATCGACTCACAGTAGAGGAGCTAGGCCTTCTTAAACGTACTGTGAGCCAGGTATAGCAGTGCATGCCTATAACCCTAGCATTCTGGGAGGCTGAGGCAAGAGGATCATACATTTGAGCCCAGCTTGAGCGTTTAGTGACTTAGTAAAACCCTCTCAAGAATTAACAAGGGCTGGGAATGTGGCTCAGTTAGAAAGCCTGAGTTTAATCCCCAGTACCACAAAAAAGAAAAGAAATACACTGTTGTACATTTTCTCTTCTAGCACTGTCATTTCTCATTTCCTTGCCAGATCCCACGAGCTGCGTTCCAAGGTGGTCTCCCTGCAGTTGCTCCTCTCCGTGTTGCAGAATGCTGGCCCAGTCTTCAGGACTCATGAGATGTTCATCAATGCAATCAAGCAATATCTCTGTGTGGCCTTGTCCAAAAATGGCGTCTCTTCAGTGCCTGATGTCTTTGAGCTCTCTCTTGCTATTTTCCTTACTCTTCTTTCAAACTTTAAAATGCACTTGAAAATGCAGATAGAGGTATGCACTCTCGAGTTTTTGTTTTCTTTTGTTTTGTATTTATTTAATGATGTTCCTACCAAATTAGAAACCTCTAATAGTGTAGTCACCAGAGCTGCAGTCACATTGCCTGCTTACTGGCACCCCAGAGAGGAACCCTTATGTGGGTGAAGAAACACTATCTGATAATGTTCTGCCTGTGAGTCTGCTACGCCTTGCATTTTGATGAAGGGCTTAAAATGCATGCTCTACATGCTGAGCTCAGCCTTCAGTCAGGTCTGTCTGGTCCATGAATTGTTTGAAATAATTTGAATTAGTTGCCAGATGGAGAAATTACATTTTATATGAAAATCTAGATTTCTGGTTTCTCAAAAAAGATCATGAGGCATGAGTCCTGCTTTTGGCGCCTGGCGGCCCTGCTGACTATCCCCACCAGGCCAGTGCTCTTTAGCAGCGAGTATGCATTACTTTCTTCTACCCAGGCTGCTTCCCTTAATTGTAGGATCTGCTTGGCCACTAATGACTCAGGTGTTCTGAGTCTTAAATGAAACTGCTAATTGATGACTTCCTTTGTCTTCATGTCATATAGGTCTTTTTCAAAGAGATTTTCCTGAACATTTTAGAAACATCCACAAGTTCTTTTGAGCACAGGTGGATGGTCATTCAGACGCTGACAAGGATCTGTGCAGGTATGTTCACCTGAGGGCGCTCATCTGCCTGGCTTACTCCACGTTTTCATCTCCCAAAGCCAGACGGAAACTTGAGCTCCTTTTTGTAGTGTTAATGAAATGTTGGGGAAATTGTTCCCTGAAAGGCTTGTTTTGGCGTTCACTTCAGCAGCACGTACACTAAAAGGCTTGCTCTAACTTGGTGAGAAATCCCATCTTGCCTCTCCTCTTTTAGAAGATGACTAGCAGAGACCACTTTGCCTGGGACCTTTCTAGCGTTAGCACTAACAGCCTCACAACCCAGAAACCCCTTAATCTTGGCAAACTAGGACAGTTTGCTACCCTGTCTGCAAACTGAGCACTGCTGGTTAATCACGGGATCTAAGACACTGGTGCCACCAATCCTTGATTGAGTGGTAAGGTAAATTGGACTTGACTTTACACCATATAATTGTATTCCTTCAAACTAGACATCCCATTTGTCTGTCATCAAACATAACATCTTAAGAGTGGCACAGTTTTAGGAGGTGAATTAGTGCCTTCTCACTCCCATTTGTTTATTTTTTGTGATGCTGGAATTAAACATAGGGCCTGTGCATGCTTGGCAGGCATTCTGCTACCAAGCTGTATCCCTAGTGCTGTTACACCATTTTTTGATGAGAAAATTGAACCTTGAGGGGACAAAATGAACTGTCTGAGATTTTAGCTAGTGTAGAGGCAGGCCTCACACAGCATGCACACACACACACACACACACACACACACACACACACACACACCTACCTGCCAATACCTTGACATGCATTCATGCATTTCCTGAGTAAGGCATGGCCACTTGAATTAGAAGTTAAATGGGACATTTTTGGCACAGAAATTTTATTAAGAAAACTAGGGCTGGGGATTTAGCTCAGCAGCATAAGCACTTGCCTAGCAAGCACAAGGTCGTGAGTTCGATCCCTGGTACCAAAAAATAGAAAACTGCTATTTGTCTTTGATTTGAATGTCTAATGTATATGTGTTATATTCCCAGATGCCCAGTGTGTTGTGGATATTTATGTCAATTATGACTGTGATTTAAATGCTGCTAACATTTTCGAGCGCCTAGTAAATGATTTATCCAAAATCGCTCAGGGAAGAAGTGGACATGAGCTGGGAATGACACCCCTGCAGGTAAAAATGAAACTATGTTTAAAGCTCACTCATTTACTAAGTTCCACCCATGTACCAAGTGCTGCCCTCAGTATTGGACATGCAGCAGTGAACAAAACACAAATACGCAGTTAGGCCCACAGCCCTGCCATGATGAAATGACAGTAAAGAAGTAAATTTGTTGGGTGCTAATAAGTGCTGGGGTGACAGAGACAGATTGGAGGTGGGAGTGTTATAATCCTTGATGAGGTCATCATGGTGGTGTCCCTAAGAAGCAGAGATACATAGGAAATGAATTGATTTTCAGCACCTTCCACAGTAGGAAAAAGGACTGCAGATTCTAGGGTAGGCAGAGGAGTTTGCCCATCAGTATGTTACCTTGTTGTCACAGTGCCTGCAAGGACAGGAGAATCTGAAAGTCCCTGAGTGAAGAGGGCAGAGGCTGTAAGCCTCCTGGAATTATGTGTAGTTTTGGCTTATGAGCAGTTTTCCTAGAAGCAGGTCATACTTGTCATTAGATTCACAGAGGGACGTGTGCTCCCCAAAATATTTGAAAATAAGAACTATTTACATTTTATAAGATTATTTACAACTTGTATTCATTTTTTATTTTTAAAAATGTTGTTTTTAAGCTAGGTATGGTGGCATATGCTTGTAATCTCAGCACTTGGGAAGCTGAGGCAGGAGGGTAGCTGCAAGTTTGTGACCAGCCTGGGCTACAAAGTGAGCTCAAGGCCATCTGAATGGCACAGTGAGACCCTGTCTCAAAAAGCCAAAAAAAAAAAAAAAAATCAAGAAACCAAAAATAAATAAGAAAATCCATTAAAAAGTTATTTTTAAAAGCAGTATTTTTACCTACAGGGTGAACCTCAAAATGGAATGCATTTGTGGGTGTTTAGGGAATAATTTCAGTCTAGAGCCACCAACTCATCACATTCTAGGTCATAGTTTAAGACCAGATATTTAAAGTTGCAGGGATTTTTGTTTCATTTTAATGAAAATTTTCATGTAAAAACCTACATAATAGTGTTGATTTTAGGAAAGCACATATGTTGCATTTTTTTCAGCTGGGATATTTAATAAAGACCTTTAGAGATGTCCAATGTGGTTTTGTGGGGGTTTTTTTGGTGTCAGGGAACAAACTCATGACCTCGAGTTTGCCAAGCAGGCACTTATGCTACTTAGCTAAACCCCCGGCCTGTCTAGAGTTTTTGACGTGTCCTTAGGCTACCTGTTCCTTGAGTTTCATCCTTCATAGTGTTGAATTTCAGAGATTATCTGATACCCTTGCAGGCTCCCTAAATACCACATACCTGCCTGTTCTTTTTTTTTTTTTTTTTTTTTTGGTCTTTTTTATCGGTACCGAGGATCAAACTCACGACCACACACTTGCAAGGCAAGGCGCTTACGCCGCTGAACTAAATCCCCAGCCCCCTACCTGCCTGTTCTTAATTCATCTGTGAAGTCTCTGTGCTGTCACTTTTGTCCTTTAGGAGCTCAGTCTAAGGAAGAAAGGCCTGGAGTGCCTCGTGTCCATTCTCAAGTGCATGGTGGAATGGAGCAAGGACCTGTATGTGAATCCGAACCACCAGACCAGCCTCGGTGAGAGGGCGCTGTTGCCACTCCTCCTCTCCTCAGAGTGGGCCACTCACCAAGTCAGGGAAAATTGTCTTGCAATTGAGTAGAACATTTTAGTTTGCTAAATACCATGTCTTTTTGATTTGTTTGTTTTTCTTTTTTGAGACAGGGTCTCATTATGTAGTTCAGGCTGGCCTTGGACTCACTATGTAGCCCAGGCTGACCTCAAACTCATACCAATCCTCCTGCCTCAACCTGCAAAGTGCTGGGATTACAGGTGTGCACCATCACATCCAGCCAATACCATTATTTTAAAGGTTCCACTGTTTAATCCATCTGGAATGTTGGGGAAAACAGTGTGAAGCTATTGTTGCATTTTTAGTAACCTCTCCCTTTCTCACTGATTGAATTTATGATACACTAAATTCTTCTATGCATGTAAGTTTGTTGCTGAATTTTTCCATTCTGTTCTATTGACTTGGCTGTTCTTACATAAATACCACACATATTGGATTATTAGGGTCATTTGGGTATTGAGTAGGGTAAGTCCTTAAGTCTTGACTGCACTTTTAACTCTTTCATGTGAATTTTAGAAACTGATCATCAAGTTTCATGGAAAAATAAGTTTCTAAGTGATGCTAAAGCTTCATGCTTTTGATTGTTACCATCCAAACTTCTTGCCTTTATAGGTCTAAGGAAGGGAAGTATGAGGTCAGAGTGCATATGTCCATGTCTGTGTCCCCTCTGCTTATTTGGTTCCCACTGCAGGTCAGGAGAGGCTCACAGATCAGGAAATGGGGGATGGGAAAGGCCTTGACCTGGCACGACGGAGCAGTGTGACATCCATGGAATCAACAGTGTCTTCGGGGACCCAGACAGCCATTCAGGATGATCCAGAGCAGTTTGAGGTCATCAAACAACAAAAGGAAATCATTGAGCACGGCATTGAGCTGTGAGTGTAGCTGCCATTCTGATGGACTCTTGTGGGGTCTCATTCAGAGCCACATCGTCTCTGAGCACCTGGGACCAACTTCTACAGGGGACGCTGTTACAAAAGGCTGATTCCAGGCAGAGAGGAAGTGTATGATCATGCATGTGAGGAAGCAAAAACCTTAATACCTTTGTGTGATTCATAGAGCCTTTTTTATTCTTTTCTAATGGCAAAAATTAAGCCAATTTAGAAAATACTAAAAATTAAAAAGCAGATGTATAAAAATCACTCATAAAATTGCTACCTTGATGAAATTGCAACTAGTGACATTTTTACCATCTATTATGAAATATTTCTTTTTTTTTTTTTAATTTTTTTTACCGGTACCAGGGATTGAACTCACAACCGCCTGCTTACAAGGCAGGTGCTTATGCAGTTGAGCTAAATCCCCAGCCCCCTATTATGAAATATTTCAACATACAGAAAAATTAACTTGTACCATGTTCATTTTTATCTAGATATTTTTCTAAACCATTTGTAATTTTTTTTTGGTACTGAGAATCGAACTCAGGACCTTGCACTTGTCAGGCAGGCTCTGCATGGCTGAGCAATATCCCAGCCCAACAATTTGTAATTTGTAACCACAGTATTTTAGCCCACATCTTTAAAACATAAAGGGATTTGAATGTGTAGCCACAGCATCATTGTCATAATTAGTAGTGGTTTTTGTGTTTCTTTCCAGTCTCTCACACACTTCACACACACGCAATCTCCTAACATCTCTAGTTTTAAATGATTAATTAGTAAATTGTTTACTTTAAAAGCTGAAGTTACAGTACTTGCTTATTAGTTGAAATGTTGGTCTTGTTTCTACTCTTACCACCTCCACCTCTCCACAGTGTACTCTTTTTTCTCTACAGCAGCTAAAGTAACCTTTTAAAAACATAAACATGGATCAAGCCTTATCCCTCCCCTGCCTAAAGTCATTCCAGGTGTCCTGCTGTGTACCATGACCTGAGCCAGCCTCTGTCCTCCCTTGCCAACTTCGTCTCCTCCAGTATCCCTAAGCCACACCACCCATTTTTAGATCCCAAAATACCTCCAAATCTTCACAATGATGCCCTTTCCTTGAAATAATCCTGGCTCTTTTTCATCCCTCAGACTGGATAAATTGTCATTTTGAAGAGGTTTTCTGTACTACACCATCTAAACAAGCCTGACATTAACTTGTGTGCTTGCCTCTGTTTGTGTCTTTCATGGCCCTTACCAGTATGTGTGTCTACATGACCGTCACTCCCCAGTGCAGGGCCTATTAAAAAAATTGTGTAGTGTATATGTTAGTTAGCTTGCCTTCCATTAACAGGCCATGTAAAATAACAGTACTCACACTGTGAGTAAAGAAATCCAAAAGTGGACGTGCTGAGCCCGTTAGGGAGGATCCTTGAGGTCCCAGCCTCCTTTTATCTGTCTGCTGCATCACCCTAAGGCTGTAATTTTCATCTGCAGGGTTTCCTGCTGATTTAGGATGACTGTTGTCTAGTGATCACACATGTATTCTAGAAAAAAAGCAAAAAATGAAAATGAGTGTACCTCTTCTCCAAGTCAGCTTTGTTTAAGGATACCTCCTAGAAATGCCCTTACCACTTTTGCTCACATCTCACTGGCTGCAACTTTATCACATGGCTGTATGTTATTTAAACTCAAGGAAATGTAGTTTTTATTCCAGTTGGTAGTGTGTGCCCAACTAACACCTAGGCTTCTATCAGTGTAGAAGAAGGGGAGAGTATAAATGAATAACAAAAGTCAAGGTCTGCCATAGGTGGATCAGAAATTGAATTTTCAAAAAAGAAAGAAAGAAGTTGAATGGGAAAAGCTACCAGGACCTTGCTAGCTTACATGCAATGGTTTGTTCATGGTGTGGCTTCGTGGCTCGCCTCAAATACCAGCTTTTTCTATGCTCCGGATTTTGAAATAAGCAACCTGTATGTCCTCTCTTCTTGAAATAGCTTCAATAAGAAACCCAAGCGGGGGATCCAATTTCTTCAAGAGCAAGGCATGCTGGGAACATCAGTTGAAGACATTGCACAGTTCCTGCACCAGGAGGAGCGCCTCGATTCTGTAAGCACTTGCACATGAGCTGTGTCAAGTGGCTCCAAGCACTCATGAGCTTGCATCTCAAGATTGACTGACCCTAAGTTCAGAGCAGCTCCTGCCCCTGGTTACAGAGCTGTGTGTATCTGCTGGCTGGTATTGCAAAGCATTCTTTAATGGAGGTAAACCAGGGCTGCATATAGGACAACACAGTGTCAGTCAGAGTTGGCAGTGTCCCATCCTTGACTGGTGGAAACTGTTCTGACTGACCCAGCAACTAGCCTCCCTCCAGAGTACGCCCCTTTGCCCCCTCAACTTTGAGCCTCTTGTGCTCCTCTTTGTTCTCCTCTGGCAGGACAGCCTGAGTCTGGAATGGGTGCAGGTGGCAACTCAGGGCTCTGCCTGGCTTTCCTAGCAGCCCAGCTGGTATGGGCATATAGAGCCAGGAGTTCCAACACCCTCTTCCCCCGGGTGTTTTTCACTGTGGGTTCACATGGGACAGTTTCTAGATGTGAGTGAGTGTGTATGTTTTAGACCCAGGTGGGTGATTTTCTGGGAGACAGCACCAGGTTCAACAAGGAAGTGATGTATGCCTATGTGGACCAACTGGACTTCTGTGAAAAGGAATTTGTCTCCGCCCTGCGAGCATTCCTGGAAGGTTTCCGACTCCCTGGGGAAGCCCAGAAGATTGATCGGTTAATGGAGAAGTTTGCTGCAAGATACATAGAGTGCAACCAAGGGTGAGCACTGTGCTTACCTTCTTCATCTTGTTGCCTGCTTTAGACCACTAATTGTGATTTGGTTATGGTTTGAGTTTAATCTTCTGAATCTACGCCATGCAGCTACAATTAGTATTCACTATGCACCAGGACCTGGGCTAAAAGATTATTTCGCATAAGGCTACACATGTTTGTTTGTGTTCCCATTTCGTAGAAAAGGAGATTGACCACCAGAGAACTTAAAGTAACTTGCCCCAGATTGCACGGCTAAAACCTATGCTAGTAAGTGCTCTCAGAGTAGTCGTATGAATTGAGAGGAGGCAATTGAGTGCCTCTTCCCTAATCAGGAACAGCTCCCTGATGTAATATACAGAGTAGATCTCAAGGAGCTTGCTTTCTCTTTGATTACATACTGACGAGAGGTTATAGAAATGCATAAGCAACTTAATAATAACACCGAAGTACATAGCTTTTATCTTGGCTTCTTTTTCATTGGCTGGCTTGTGTTTTTGTAAGAGTTGAAAATAGGAAATGAGCTAACTGGTATGTGTTAGCCATGACATGAATTCGACTTTCATTTCATTTAATCAGTGATGAGCTGGGCAGTGATTCCCTGCTTTCCCTATGAGAAGACTGAGGTTCTGGAAGCCTGAGCAGCCCATATCCAGAATCAGTCAGCTGGTACGCAGCAGTGCCAGGATTGAACATGGACTTATCTAACACAGAAGCTTGGATGTGAAATTATAAGTATCTGAATATTCAGTCCACATGATTGGAAATTGTTCAGTGGAAATATTTTCATAAATTTCACCTCTCAAGTCATTCCCATGTTTGTATTAATTGGTCCAGAGTGTGTGGCCAGTGGTCCCTCAGACAGAGTGTAGTTGGCCAAGGCAGTAGCTGTTCATTTTAACCAAATGGGCATTGGGCTCCACTGTGAAGACCTAATTAGATGTTGTGCCTTTAAACATACCCTGTGCAGGCCAGGAGGCCTGGGTCAATCTTCCATAGCAAATATGTGCCCTAAACTACCTATTAGAATGTAGACCTTTCATTGTGTTACTCAAGATTTTTTTCTTTTATTTTAGGACATTTTGGACAGAGCAGTTTTTGAAGCTTCAGCTTCACATGCTGAGGCTGGGCAATTGGGTATTTGAAAAATGGTTTCTACTTTTTAAAATTTTAGGTAAAAAATAAAATGACAAAAGAGCTGCATGCTTTTTACTTTCTCTTCTTGCTTAAGGCCAAAAGCACAAAATTAGACTTTACCAGTGTATTGTTTAGAACAATCTAAACATTTTCCCTTGTATTTCTGCTGTTAAGTACAGTGAACAGCGTGTGCTGTAAATAGCTAAGAACTAAATAGCAGTTGCAGGCAGCTTTGTCTGCAGCCAGCACAGCGCCTGGCTCAGAGCAGATACTCTCAGTTGGAACCACATGAGACTCATCCAAGTGGGAGGAGGCCTCATGCCTAGAGCCTACACAGAACTATGTGTGTCCAGGAGTGAAGATCTCTGATATCTTTATGTTCAGTTGCTTCACCTAGTCTTGACTTAAGATGTTCTTCAAGGATCTTTTAACTAAAATTAACTTGAAGCTGCTTTATTCAAAAAAGCTAGAATCTGACTGGACATGGTGGCATATACCTATAATCTCACTGCTCTGGAGGCTGAGGCAAGAGGATCACTGAGTTCATGGCCAACCTGAACTGCAGAATGAAACCATCTCAAAAAAGATCCCCCATCCCCCCACAAAAAATATCAAGCTAGAATCTGACATTTTTAATGATCTTTTTCTGTATCCTGGGTTATTAGTTATTGCTCAGCTATGAAAGCATGAAACCCATGACTAATTTGGCATCACTTGGAGCAGTTGGCCGACTTTTAATGAAGTAGATTGCTCTCAGCATCATGTCTTCTGGAACTCTCCTCACCATGCATACTTCTCTGTCTGCAATCTTTTCTTCCAGGCAAACCCTGTTTGCTAGTGCTGACACTGCGTATGTCCTGGCATATTCCATCATTATGCTCACTACAGATTTGCACAGTCCTCAGGTAAAATATTTCAGTGATTCATAGATTGTGCAGTGGCTTTATCTGGGCAATTGGGTATTTGAAAAATGGTTTCTACTTTTTAAAATTTTAGGTAAAAAATAAAATGACAAAAGAGCAGTATATTAAAATGAATCGAGGAATCAATGATAGTAAAGATCTCCCAGAGGAATATCTCTCTAGCATCTATGAAGAAATAGAAGGCAAGAAAATTGCAATGAAAGAAACAAAAGAACATACGATTGCCACCAAATCTACTAAGCAGAGTAAGGTCTAATGGCAGATTATCTTAACTTTTTTAAAATTCTGACTTTGAACTGTATTAGAATGCATGATTAAGTATGCTGGGGATAAATTTAGTTTGCTTTCTCAATATATGAATGTGAAATGTGATTAACTAAATTATTATGATTATGTTGGTGCTTTCATAATATCACTGTCTTGCTAGATTTGACCAGGAACAAGAGGCTAATTAAAATAAATCATTTGAGAGCTAAATTACCTCACCTAAAAAATGTTCCTTAAAACCTTGCTTTAATTTCAGTGGTGATTGTGCCAACCTTGATTAGAAGTCTACTAATTAGGGCCCCTGTGGAGCCAAAGTTTCTTCTTCCTGAGGCAGTGAGATGCAGAGGGTTAGAGCCCAGGCTGTAGAGCTACACTGCTCTAGATCAAGTCCCAGCTCTGCTGCTTATTAGCTGTGTGACCCTGAGCAAGTCACATAACCTCTCTGCCTCATTTTCCCCATCTTAAAATGATGCTATTTGTAACAGGCTCATGAGATTGTTGGGGAGATCTGTTTTAACCCTTAGGAGCCTTCGGAAGCAGTTCCTAGTGTGTAGTGGTCTCTTGGTGAGTGCTGCCTGCTATTCATGCTCCTGCTTCTTTGTAGATGTAGCTAATGAAAAGCAGCGGCGGCTGCTGTACAATTTGGAGATGGAACAGATGGCTAAAACAGCCAAGGCTCTGATGGAGGCTGTGAGCCACGCCAAAGCCCCGTTTACAAGTGCGACTCACTTGGACCATGTCCGGCCAATGTTCAAAGTGAGTAGCCTGCGCAGTCTACATGTGACGAGGCCTGATTCTGGAGCTGGCTGATCGGGGTGACTGGAGAGGTCCGTCCCATGGGAAAGAGATTGGGGAGAGGCCAGCGCCGGGTGCTTCTGTCTGAAGAGTGACTAGAGCAAGTCCGTCCCTCATGTTCTTTGGTGGTGCTGGGAAGCTCCAGTCTATGGCTGTGGTCAGGTTATTCACACTGTCTGTCTATCTTTAATCTGTAAAATGAGGACAAATAGAAAGTTGCTGTGAGGGTTGCAGAGTGGGAGAAGAGGGACTGAAATCAAGCAAAAGATAAAAGAGTAGTTTGTTGGGATGTTTCACCTCAGTGGCCTCAGGGTGTCTATCATTGAAATTAGGTAGAAAAAGAGTTGCCTGAAGACTATTTTTAAAATGTCTTTTACAGTGTCTAGAAAAGATACATGTTCTCAGTCAGGTGTGGTGGCACATGTCTATAATCCTAGTACATAAGACGCTGAGGCAGGAAGATTGCACCTGCAAGTCCAAGGCCAGCCTGAACCACATAGTGAGACCCTCTCTCAAAAACCAAAAGAGATACGTGTTCTCTACACATAGCACAGTATTTTTCTCTAAGTTTTTTGTTTTGGTTTGTTTGTTGTTGGTTTTTTTTTTTTTTTTTTTTTTTTTTTTTTTTTGTCTTTTTGAGACAGAGTCTCTTTCTGCAGTTCAGGCTGTCCCTGTGCTCACTTTTTTAGTGTAGGCTGTTTTCAAATTTGCAGTGACCCTCCTACCTCAGCCTCCCGAGTGCTGGGATTACAGGCATAAGCCACCACACCTGGCTCTTTTTTTTTTTTTTTTTTTTTTTTTTGCTCTAAGATGTTTTTGTAGTTTGTAGTAACTGTTAGTATCTTAGTAGGTAGTTAATTCTAGACTTTCATGACTTATTATTTCATAAGGAACTCAAAAAGTTGGAAGAAAAGGCTAGATGATTTGAATTAGCTTTTTGATAAACTGAATTTGTAGATTATAAGCCACTTACAGGTTTTATATTGCATGCTGACTTTTGATTGGTAATGGCTGACTGGTATGCTGTATGAAAAGGGATTCTCAAGCCCCGTAAACATTCAGCAGGGAAGGGGGTCATCTTTGATTGGTTAGTGATGTCTGCCATGAACACAGGTGTGTGGAGGAGTGGTGCACCAGCCATGATTGCCCATTCTTCCTTTTGAGCTACCTAATAAATAGCACATCTGTAGTGATAACTTTTTGTTCTTTGAGAATTTGACAACTTCAAATTTAGTTACTTCACATCTTCATTTATATATCCTCTTCCCCTCCTCCCTCCCTGTGTTAGCTTTAGTCATAATTTTAGAGGAAAATAAATTTGTGTTTTGTAAGTAAAATAAATTGAAAGGAAAACAGCAGTGTCCTTGGCATCCTGACATTTTCCCCTAACTCACAATGTGTCCTCTGAGTGCTCTTTTCATGTTGAAATTCTGGATGTTACTGAAACCTGACTTCTTTGGTAGTTGGTGTGGACACCGCTGCTGGCAGCCTATAGTATCGGTCTACAGAACTGTGATGACACTGAAGTAGCGTCCCTGTGTTTGGAAGGCATCCGCTGTGCTATCCGAATTGCCTGCATCTTTGGAATGCAGGTGAGTGTATGTGAGCAGGAATCCTGAGGTCTTAATGGGATGTATGCTCTTAGGTTTTGCAAAATTTAGAAACCAAGAGAGGCAAATTTGTTAACCTAGAGTGTCAGCAAACAGTTTCCTTATTTCCTCTGGGAAAAAATGCACAGCTATAAGATACCCATATCCATTTTTATTATAACTTCTTTTATTTCTCATTCTGTTGGAAAACACATAGTTGAATGCAAAGTTAACTTAGCTTTAAAGAGTTTTTTAATCTTAAAAAATTCAATAAGTAAATGAAGTATAATTCTCAAACTATTCTTAGTCAGAAGGTTGTTGTCCATTCTGTGAATCACTTTTTAAATCAGTAAGAATTTTTACTCATTTATTTTGAAAACCCCATTCTTCATTCCTGTTTCCCATGTAGTTTGACATTTTCTTTTGTTTAAGAGCCATAGGTTTCGAAGTCAAATAATTATGGTTTCAAACCCAGCTCTAGTGCTTTTCCAGTCATATCACATTGACCCAGCTAAGTTCCCTCTAAGACAGTGTTTATCTCCTCATTTATAAACTTGAGAAAATAGGCCCTCTTATAGGATTGTTGCAGATATTAAAATTTATATGACAGTCTTGGCACTCAACATAGTTTGGAACACAGGATCAGTAAGAGTGATAGAGGTCAGTTATAAGGAGAGATCTAGTTCTCAAATGTGTGGTGCTCCAGTAGCTGGAGGACCTCAGCGTGGAATAACTGGCATGCGGATGTGCAGAAAGCCTGCTGTGTACATGTAAAAATACCAGATAAACCAGGCACAGTGGCACATGACGGTAATCCCAGCTGCTTGGGAGGCTGAGAAAAGAGGATTGGAAATTTGAGGCCAGTTCAAGCAACTTAGTGAAACCCATCTCAAAATAAAAAGAGCTTGGCTCGGTGGTCCAGTGGCCATAGGTTCAGTTCCTGATACTGTGCAAAACAAAACCAAAAAGCAAAGGAGCCCAAGTATATCAGCCCTGCAGATGTGAGTATGACCATGGGGCTGGAATCTTAGTATTCTCTTTGGGTTTCTGTTTTAGCTGGAACGAGATGCCTATGTTCAGGCCCTTGCTCGCTTCTCCCTGCTGACAGCCAGCTCCAGTATCACAGAAATGAAGCAGAAAAACATTGACACCATAAAGACACTTATTACTGTGGCTCACACCGACGGCAACTATCTTGGGAACTCCTGGCATGAGGTGTGCATCTTTGCATTTTTTTCATTTACGATGACTCCCTGGCCTTTTATTTGGGGTTGCATTCTTGATCGGTTCTGTTTTTTTTTAATGTGAAGCCCGTCGTTACCTTATGAATCTGTAAGTTGGGCATGTGGACAGAGTTCACGCCCTCTTAACATTTAAGGTAGAGTACAAACCAATACATGTATAATATAAGGCCCCAAAATGAATAACTGCTAAGGAAAAATATGTGACTAGAAGGTAGCACTGGGAACAGTGGTCAGAGTCACAGGAGCTCTTTCAGGGGAACACATGTGCCTGATCTGGGAATTGAAGGAGTGAGCTGGGGAAACAGCTTTCCAGGCACAGGGAACAACAGCAAGGGCTGAAGCCCCCGGGTGGAACCAGATGTGGCAAGGTAAAGCCACCGTGGAAGCCAGTGAAGCTGGTGTGTTGTGTCTGCAGGGAAAGTGGACAAAAAAGTGGGGGAGAGGGTAGATCCGACTGCACAGATGGAACAGCATGGCAGGTGGAATGCAACCAAATAGTTGTTCTGTCTTACAGATGAGCGCCTACTAAGTCTGTATAAATATCTGTATAGTGTAACACTGCACTCTGCCAACTTTCCTTTTGCTTATTGCTATTTCCTTTTTAATAATTATAAAAAGGAAACTGAGGCTAGGGATTTAGCTCAGTAGTGTAAGCGCCTGCCTGACAGGCATGAGGTTGTAAGTTTGATCCCTGGTCCAAAAATAAAACCCAGAAAACAGTATTCAGTATTGTATCTTTAAGACTCACACTTGGCAGGTTGCGCAGCCAGGACTCTTCTGTTGGTTAACCAGTAAGTCTGTCCTCTAGGGAAGCCATGGTAAAGACCATCATATTTTATTCTCCCTGAAGGCTCATGTTTTAAAGAGGACTTACTTCAGGTTGTAAGAACCCTTTTCCAGCTGTAAAATGAGAATTCATTTCTTTTTTTTTTAATTAAAAAAAATTCTAAAAAAAGAAGGAGATTAAGATAAAAGAGGACATAACAACATAATAACACAGGTCAGAACAGAACAATTTAAGTGTTTCACCACAAGATAACCCGACATAACAGTAGCTACCATAGTGTCTTTTTCCTTGAAATATTTGAGTATAACTTCATATATTATGGCACCAAACACAACATGACAGTGTAAAACCATTCAAGAGAATAAAAGTATTACAGGGTATTTAGAACCAACTAACAGAAAACGAACAATGGTTTCTATCTCATCTCCTTATCTATAAAAAATTTTGTTTATACTATCACATATAATAAAATCCAGTAAAATGAAACATGATAAGCTGATGGAGACAGAAAAACAAAAGCTTGGTGGGAGAGAATTCATTTCTTCATGCGTTTTTTTCCTTAGATCTTGAAATGCATCAGCCAGCTGGAGCTTGCTCAGCTGATAGGAACTGGGGTGAAGACGCGCTACCTGTCTGGGTCTGGCCGTGAAAGGGAAGGCAGCCTGAAGGGCTACACGCTGGCAGGAGAAGAGTTCATGGGCCTGGGCCTCAGTAAGACACCAAGCCCCCTCCCTAGCCATCATTACTTCATCTGTTCCCTAGGATGAAACCATCTTACCCTCTCAGGACGTCCCATAAATCATCTCTTCGTTGAGTGTCAGTTGACAGGGTGTTTATGAATGCAAGTGAATGTGCTGCTTTGGCTTTGTAATGTGATTAAATTGTTGAGCAAAGCATCTGTTGTATAAAAACCAGCAGAATGACTACCATGCCTTTCTCCTGTAACCTGGGGCAGGGGAGATTGTTTGCTTTAAAACTCTAGTTTCTGGCACAAGTGTCTGTGTGTCTTTGGATCTTGAAGGGTAGATTCCATGTCTTTTCATTGGGGACTTTTATTAAATAGTTGGTATTTCTGGCTGTGCAGAGGGTGAAAAATTCTTGTCAGTGATGTACGGGATAATTTCAGGAGATGAAAGCACATGTGTCAGGCTACCTGCTAAGCACTCAGTCCATGTGTTTTAACTCATTTAGTTGTCATAATGATCCAATGTATAGGGCAATGGTGGAGATCTATGGTATGCATGACACAGAAGGCTGTTTGAATCATTGAAAGCTCTAAAGGCTTCGCCATCACTGGTATGGAGACTATTTTCCAGCCCACTCCACCCCCGTTTTGTAGTTGAGAAAACTGAAGCACAGGGTGCAGTGACTTGAGCAGGTTCACATAGCAAAAGATTGAAGCTCAGGGCTATCGACACGCAGGACAGAGGCTGCTAGAGCCCGGCCCAATGGTTGGAATAGCACCGTGCTGTAGTTAAAAGCCTGGGCAATGGGGAAATGGGTTGTGGCAGTGCCCATTTCTTCAGCTGCCTATGAAGGTGACTGGCATGAACTCCTGGAAGGCAGTGGAGCATCCAGCACACATGAGCAACGTGTGTTTAGGCGCTCTTGTATTAGTGTCAATTGGCTCTGATTTGTTTTTCTAAATAGAATCCTTTAATACTATAAAAATGTAAATAAGACTATAGAATGGGTTGGTGCAAGCAGGAGAGCTTGTAATACAGATATATTTTGAATGCCAAAATGTAAGTTTAAATCTTATCATCAGTGAAGTTTGTTTGTTTGCTTTTGCCTGAGGAACCTTCTCATTTGTGTTCCATGTCTCTGCATATTGATGCCAAAGATACTTTGTTCCCAATGCTGGGCTGCGTTTAAAGTCAACTGCTTCTCTGCATCGTGTTCCAGGTAATTTGGTGAGTGGTGGAGTGGATAAAAGGCAGATGGCCAGCTTCCAGGAGTCAGTGGGTGAGACCAGTTCCCAGAGTGTGGTTGTTGCTGTGGACAGGTAATGCTTTCCTTCTCTGGTGAGGCTGGGTAACCCTGTGTTTTAGTGTCCTCTGCAGAGATATTGTGGCTCTTAAGGTTTATTCTAATTGAAATTTGTTTAGCTAAAAAAAGAAATTTGTAGCCGGGTGTGGTGGCTCACGCCTGTAATCCCAGCACTCGGGAGGCTGAAGTGGGAAATCGTTTCGAGTTCGAGACCAGCCTGGGCTACAAAGTGAGCTCAAGGCCAGCCTGAACTGCATAGTGAGACTCAGTCTCAAAAAAAGAAATTTGTTTACTTTTTTAGATGTGTAAATTGTTGTTTTTCATCAAATATGGTCACTGTTCAGCCATTAGTTCTTTGGTGCCCCACAGATCCCTGAGGCTGGCTCCCAGACCCAGAACTAGGGATCAGACCCAGGGTGCTAGGCCACATAGTTACATCATAGCTCTTTTTTATTTCTTTTTTTTCTTTTTGTCTTTTTTGTTTTTTTTTTATCGGTACCAGGGATCGAATTCACGACTTCTTTTTTATTTCTTGAGACCCTATCTCACTAAGTTACTTGGGCTGAGTTGGGCTAAAAACTTGTAGTCCATATGGACTGAAACCTCCAAAAACTGTAAGAAATAAACCTTTCCTTTCCCCCGCTCAAAAAACTTATAGTCCTTTGCCTTATTCTCCTAAATAGCTGAAATTACAGGTATGTGCCACCATATTGAACAGTTTTTCATGTTTTGAATTATTGTTTATTTCTATTCATCATATTAGACAACAGCATTTGACTGCTCTTACTGTCGTGCTTTCTTTTGCCAGCTCAAAACTGTAATTGAGCCCCTACAGTGAACTTTTATTTCAGCTCTATACTCTTCAATTTCAGAATTTCTATCATTGTTTCTGTCTATTAATATTATATTTTTAGTGAGACATTTTGGTTGCTAGGCTTCCTATGGAGATGGGAAGAGAGTAATGGAAATATACCAAGTTGAAATTTTTTTTAGAGGGTTAGAAATAATTTCCTTTAGTTCTTTGGACATAGTGAAAGTAATTAACTTAGCTGGGCATGGATGCATATGCATATTATCGTAGCACTCGGGAGGCTGAGGCAGGAGGATCGCTGCAAGTTCAAGGACAGCCTGAACTGTATAGTGAAACCCTGTCTCAAAAAGACAAAGACAATTAACTTAAAAAAACTTTGTCTAGAATATTCAACATTGAGGCTTCCTTAGGTATAGTTTCTTTTAACTGGTTCTTTTCCTATAAATAAACCATACAATTTTGTTTCTTGGGTGACAAAATTATTATAAAGTAGATAGTGATGATGATTGCATAGCTCTGAGTATACTAACACTGTTTTACATTTTTATTATAAATTATGTATTGTGATTAGAAATACATTTTTAATTTTTGTCAAAAACCAAATAAATATTACTTAAAATAATATATAGCAGCTTCAGCTATCAGTCATCCTTGCTACTTGTTTGTTTAGTGACTTTCCTAAACTAATTGTGTATGTTACATATTCTTTCTCATGTGACTTCTGCTGAATCTCTGCTGGGCAGCTTTAGAGGTCAGAGATTTCCTTGGATGTTTTGAATCTTTGTCCAGTTTCCAGCGTTTGCCTACTGAGGGCTTGCATGACCCTGTAGGCATGCTGCAAAACTCAGCCAGCACTTTGCAGCTCTCTTTGCCTTTGCTTGTTCATGTGAGCCTCAAAGTCAACCAGAGGTGAGACTTTTCTGGTTTTATGCACAAAGCCTTACACGTGTACTGGCAGTCAAGAGTCCCAGCGATATTTTGGAACTTTTCAAAGCCTCCTGTGGACATCTTATCCCAGCTTTTCCTTCTAAGTTTTTGGCACACTGCTTGCTTTTGTTGCCTCCTGCGCTGTGGTGTTAAACAGTACTACTGATTGCTTTTGATAAGAGCTCCACAGGAAGACTGGTTTCCCTGGGACCAGAATTAGGTCAGGTAATGTCAGCTTCTTGAGGATAGTGTTTTCAGAGAACATTGTGGCTATTCTGCCCCCTCTAGTGGTGGTTTGGATCTGGCTTCAAACTTAACATTTTGGTGCTTCCAAACAATTTATCAAGGTGCTCTTGAATCTACACGAAAAATGACTTAATTGGCAGAAAGTCAAGCCTCTGTTTTTTACTTTATGAAAAATAAAATTTCATAACAAAATGATGAGAGAGTAACAATAGATATCTTCAAAGTAGTTATCAGAGTACAAGACGTAGACCAGGGCACCCTATCTTTGGTGTATGATTTTTAGGCTTTCTGTGGAGCTGGGGAGAGGGCAGTGGAACTAGGCCAAGTTGCAGTGCCACAAGCATTAGCTGTTCAGATTCAGCAGTGCTTCTTGATAAGTACATACCTTAGGGTTTTGTTAGCGTTTGTTAGGGTTTCAAATATGCAACTTTGAAAAAGTTAATTTTGGTAATTTTTTGCCAGTGTTCTCATTACTGTTACAGAGGAGCAGCTTTTCGGAGGTTCTGACTCCACCAGTCTCCGCTGATGTCACATCACCTGCTGTTTTTCCATTTCTTCTCTCAGTGTAGACTTTTCTGCCGTCAGCCCACTGGCCAGTTTCATACTTTTGATGCCTTATCATTTATTTTGGTGAAAGTGCCAGACCTGAAGCATTTCTTTTCTTCCTGTTCTGTTTGAGAAACATCTTCCAAATCTAATTTTTATTTAAGTATGTCTGTAATTGTCTTCCTAGGATTTTTACTGGCTCTACCAGACTGGATGGAAATGCAATAGGTATGTATTTGACTTGCCTGTGACAACCAAAGAAGCTTCATGTTGTCACTGCCTGTTACTAACAAGGCTGCACGTGTGTCATTGGGTCTGGCCTATAGTTGACTTTGTCCGCTGGCTATGTGCTGTTTCCATGGACGAACTGGCTTCTCCGCACCATCCTCGCATGTTCAGCCTGCAGAAGATTGTGGAAATATCATACTACAACATGAACCGAATCCGACTACAGTGGTCCCGAATATGGCATGTGATTGGAGATCACTTCAATAAGGTAAATTTTCAGGTTCAAAGAATACTTCATCAGGGCTGGGGATTTAGCTCAGCAGTGTAAGCGCCTGCCTGGCAGCCGCGAGGTCATGAGTTTAGTCTCTGGGACCAAGAAAAAAAAAACTTCAGTATAAAAAGTATACAGCTGAATTCAACAAGTATTGACCCTTTTTGTTTATACCACTAGTTATCTTAGTTTGTTAGAAACTTTTGTCGTCTTATCTGCTTGTTTCTTCTTTGTAAGAATCTTGCTCAATGTGCTGACATACACCTATCGTAGCTCTCAGGAGGCTGAGGCAGGAAGATTGCTGTGAGCTCAAGGCCATTGTGGGCTATATAATGAACTACATAGTGAGACCCTGTCTCAGGGGAAAAAAATCTTTTTGGTCTTCTTCTTGTACTCTCAGTAACTACTTTGAAAATAAAGATATAAGGGGTGGGGATTTAGCTCAGCGGCATAAGTGCCTGCCTTACAAGCAGGCAGTCGTGAGTTTGATCCCTGGTACTGATAAAAACGAAAAAGACAAAAAAAGAAAATAAAGATATACAGTATACTAGTTATTGTTATTCTCGTTATTATGAAATTTTGTTTTATTTTTTATAAAATAAAAAACAGAAGCTTGACTCTGGTTTTTAGGTGCCATTAAAGTCATTTTTTGTGTAGAAATCAATGGTACCTTGATAGAAGTAATATGCTTAAGTTTTAAGAGAATCCATGTAGAATGAATAAGAAATCCAGTAATATCCCATATTCAGATATAAGCTAACAACAACAAAAAAATCAGTATTATTAGTGGACAAACATGTTCTTGCTTGGAGACATTCTGAAATTGTATGACCCAAGATGAAGTAATGTTACTTACAGTTTGGATATTAAATGTCACCACTTCTTATATTCTGCATTCTGTTGTTACTACTCTTCTGAAAGCTTTGCTAGAAATTAACATTTGGTTTTGGTGTTGTTGTTTTGGGGTTGGTTTTTTTTTTTTTTCTTTTCTTTCTTTTTTTTTTTTTTTTTTTTTTTTTTTTAAGATGAGTTCTTACTCTCTAGTTCAGGCTGGTTTGACCCCAGGCTGGCCTCAAACTCAAGGCAGCCTACCTGCCTCAGCTTCCAGAGTGCTGGGATTGCAAGTGTGTACCACTCCTTTTTTTGTTTGTTTGTTTTTTTGTGCCAGGGATCTAACTCATGGCCTCTCACTTGCCAGGTAAGCATTTATGCTGCTGAGCTAAATGCCTGGCCCAATATTAGTTTTGGGGTTTTTTTTTTTTTTTTGGTGCCGGGGATCAAACTCACAACTTTGTATTTGCCAAGCAGGTGCTTAGGCCACTGAGCTCAACCCTGGTCCCACAATATTAGTTTTTAAATCAGAAATAGGGCCAGGAATATTGCTCAGTGGTAGAGCACCTACCTGCAAGCATAAGGTCCCAAGTTTGATCCCTGTATCAAAAAAAAAAAAAAAATCAGAAACAAACCAAAAACACTTTGTCTGCTGAAGCCGATAACTGCTAGGAATAAGTCATACTGAACAATTCTGTCTGCTGCAGTTTTCATTTTATATATATACAGGAATAAAAACTCAGGTACACATTTTACTATAGTAAAACTGGAAGGAAAAGCAATCAGAAAGATGTTTGTGTGATGTGATTTGCTTCCTTAAAAAAATACAAGCTTGGCAATACTATCTTCTTGCCAAAATACATTTTATGACCCTAAGAAGATTTTCTCAGACCTAGAGATAAAGATGAATACAAATAGTGTTAGTAAAAGAATGACTGCATTGAATGGATGAAAATTGTAAAAAATAATCTCCCGTTGGGAGATAGAATAATCGATGGGATGCTGGCAAATGATACTTATCATTTACCTATGATACTGATGCTGTACTATGACTAATTCATTACTCTGTGAGGCAGTGTAATGTCACTCATAGTGAGGTAGGGAAGAATTTAGCACAATCAGTTCACACAGGCAGGAGGTGGCCTGCTCCAGCACTCCACTGGAATGAGTATAGTCAGCTGAGTGTGGTGTCCTGGCTGTAATCCCCACATTTTGGGAGGCTGAGGCAAAAGCATCACACGTTTGAGCCTAGTCTGGACAATTTAGCAAAATCCTATTTCAAAATTAAAATTAAAAAGAGCTTGGAATATAGTGAGTCAGTACAAAGGCTCTGGGTTCAGTCCCCAGTACTGGATCGGGGGAGGCATTGTCAAGGATAGCCTGCTTGATACAGCAGTTAACAGAAGTTCTTTGTTTTCTTACAAACTCAAATTAAGGTCTCTTCTTCTGTTTAGCACAGTATCCGTGAGCCTTGGGGCGGAGGGCGAAGGGACAAATGATGCCCCTGTGTGATACATTAACTGATGGGGAAGGGTCAGATAGTACCATACAGTTGTTGAGACGACATGGTCAGAGCAGGACTCTCTAGAGGTAGCCTTGCGGTTGAGTCAGGACAGATCTACAGGATAAGGGTTTTAGCTAAAGTAACCATCTCTAGTAACTGACTCAGCACCATCTTCCTACTGTTCTGGGTAAATAAATTCTTAGTAGATCAGCTAAAGAAATTGATGTGAACTTACTTGAGAAAGAAAATGTGACTCATTACCATGACTATGCCTTGTATTGTCCAAAACTGTGATAGCTAAGCTGGAACTAACACTGCTCATTTACTTCACAAGACGTTTAGGCTAACAGCTGGGGCATCCTTTGTTCTCTCAGAAATGACTATCCAGAAGTGTTTCAGTAAACATTCCCAGCTCTTCAGAGTCTGCATTTCATGTTCAGAGGAAACATAATTTTATACAAGTTAACTTTTCCTACCTGAAATTCTGCTGTCAACAGTCTTTATGGGACACTTCTCAGTTTCTGTGGGACACTTATGGGCAGGATTAGAATAGACTGGCAGGTACTCATTAGACTTTGCATGGTTGTCAGCTTTACAAATGCCTGTTCTATCTAATCAGTGCTGTTCAACACCCAATCATGGGAAACTCAGGCGCTCACTGTGGACTCTTAGTTCTTTCCACCACCTTGAAAAGATGTCCATCTCCCCCTTGTGAGCTGGTGCACAGGAGAATCTTGTGGGTTAAAGAAGTGATGGTTGTGGGGCTGGGGATTTAGCTCAGCAGCATAAGCACCTGCCTTGCAAGCAGGTGATCGTGAGTTCGACCCCTGGTACCGATAAAAAAGAAAAAGAAAAAAAAAAAAGAAGTGATGGATGCGTGCAGCTTTAACTTAGCTCTCAGAATAGCTGTAACCTAGTAAAGTTGTATGAACAGACACTTAGGTGCTAGTAGGATGCAGGTTCTGTGGTCTGGGTTGAGCAGACCGAACAGTAAGTACTGTGTGTATGCCCAAAGCATCTGTTTTGGCCAGATTTTTAGGAGAAAAATATTCTTTTGCTAAAAATAGAAAATGTTTTCAAGGGGTGGGGATATTCTGCAGTGGTAGAGTTCTTGCCCAGCCGGGTGAGGCCTTGGGCTTGATCCTCGAGACTACAAAAACAGAAATCAAACAAAAGACAACTTTTCAAATCATACTACATACCTATAAAATTTCTCACAGAGCAGGTTGCTGCAAGATGCCCCAGATCTCTTTTCAGCAGGGCTGGAAGGAACATTGTGCTTTTGGGAATTCTTCTTGGGTAGAAAGTCTGAAAAGCACCAACAAAATGTGTACGTGTAACTCCAGCCCTTCAAAATAGGCAGACCATAAGCAAGGGTAATTTTCAATGATACTGAAAAGCCTCAGTATTTCTGCATAGTTTCTCAAGGCTGGTAATATTCACTTGCCTTCTTTCTTTCTTTCTGTTTTTGTTTTTTGGTACCAGGGATTGGACTCATGACCTCACGCTTGCCAGACAAGCTAAGCTGCTGAGCTAAATCCCCAGCCCATCACTTTCATAATCACTTACTAAGTAACAGATATTAGGAAAGTATAAAAAAGCATTCTATATAATCTTTGGATACCTCAAATATATTTGAATATAAATCGAATAATATTTGAATATAATTGAATAATACCTGGGGAGTTATTGTAAAATGGGTACAGAGTTTCAGTTTTGTAGGTTGAAAAGAATTCTGGAGATTGTAGATTTAGTAATGTGACTGTATTGTTGAACTTTACACTTCATATGGCTAAGATGAGCCAGGCATGTTAGTGCACACTTGTAATTCCAGCATTCTGGAAGGCTGAGGCAGGAGGATTAAAGTCTGAGGCTGGTCTGGGCAGTTTAGTGACCTGAGTGAGAAAGCAGTCTGGTCTCAAACTGAAATACAAAGTGCAAAGGCCCTAGGTTCAATCCCCAGTATCCCCCCCTTCCCAAGTTAAGAAGGGGACTTGAGTGTAGGTCAATGATGCCTTGAGTTTGAACCTTAGCACCCTTCCTCCAAAAAGGTGGAATGATAAATTTTCTATTATGTGTACTATAAAACTTGTAAAAACAACTAGCACATTTTGAAAACCTTTTAATTAAATGTACAATACAAAAGATGATTTTTCATCTTTACACTTAAATAAAATTGAACGGGTCAATCCAAGAAACAGCATTTTCTTGGCTTGGGTATGTTCTGCAGTCAGCCACCGCCTCCGGAGCCCCACACCCATAAACGCTAACTGCACCTATTCGTTCCTCCTCCCTTCCTGTTTCTGCTCAGGTTGGCTGCAACCCCAATGAAGATGTGGCTATCTTTGCTGTTGACTCGCTAAGACAGCTCTCCATGAAGTTTCTGGAGAAGGGTGAATTAGCCAATTTCCGCTTCCAGAAAGATTTCCTGAGGCCTTTTGAGCATATTATGAAGAAAAACAGGTACTGTACATTGCCATGGAAAACCTTAGGTCAGATTAAACTCCCTCCTGGCACTGACTACATGGTTGATTTTATTGCCCTTGTTGGTGGAAGCAATGGCATGCAGAGATTATGATTTACACTCCTTGTACTGAGGTAAATCACACCAAGATCCATGTACTGCCCTCCCAGGACAGATGCTTTCACAGCAGCTGATAAAGGTGTCACACTCCACACTGGGCAGTGCAGAGCAGTGTGGAGAAGCAGCCACTGCTGAAGCAATCTCAGATCAGGGCAAGAACTATGTGATCCAGCATTTTTGCCCCCAGAGCTGACAAAGGAGGTCAGGACACTGGTCCCTCTGCGGTAATTGTTCACTTGGCCTGTGTTTATCAAGGCTTGCCATCTGCTAGGTAATACTATTAAGTGCAGAGAATGCAACAGTTTTTAAAAATTCATACAATTCTAGTTTTTGTTGAGTCTTGAATTAATTGTAGTTGCAGCTGAGTCATGGGTACATAAAAACTAATTCCCTGTTTCCAGTGGAGTAGATAGATAAATGAACAGCAAGTCAGTGCTCTAAAACCTGTTATATGAGGTAAGGAGACAGGAATAGAAGCTCTCCTTTATCCACGACAACCAGTGAAGCTGTGTTTGACAAGGTGATCCTTAGACAAGATCTGCAGGAAATGAGGAGCAAGGCAGGAATGGGGGACCAGGCTACCCATGATAGCCCACTATGCTTCCCAGATGCAGCGTGTACTTTTATCTTTGTTCTTACCTTCTCGTTGTCTTCACTCAGCCCAAGCTCACTCTCCAGAGCCAGTTTCTCTCTCATTCTTCACCTTTACTTTCTCTAATAAACTTTGCCAGTGCTTTTTGCTCATTTTGCCCAACTCTTTATTCAAGACAAGAAGAACCTGGAATCTAATTCCAGAAGGAGAGGTGAGCAATCGGAACATTTAGTAAGTGACCCACTTTTTAGAAGCAAGCTACCTGATAACAGTACAACTTCAGAATTTTATCCAAAAGCATTTTCACAACAGTAGAAATTTACTGAATTAATGTTCTGGAGGTTGGGAAGTCCAAGATCATAGTCCCAGAAGGTTGTGTGTCTGACGAGGACTGTCTTCTTGCTACTTTCATGGTGGAAAGAGTGACTTTGGGACCACATTACCAGATAGAGAATGCCGACCTGACCATACACATGTGACAGGAGCAGGTTTTACTTGTGTTACTGCCTTGATGGCCCAGCTCACTTATGCAGGTGATGATAGATCAGACAAGTTTATAACATCATTTAACTATAAGAAAGAAGAGTTTTGTGTGTTGTTTACAGCATGAAGCTTTGCAAGCAAGTTTCAAAGTTTATATGAAAACACAGGTGTGCAAAAGTAAGACAGTTTGAAAAAATCCATGATACTCAGTATCTCATTAGTTCTGGAAGCTTTGAAGTCCAACAGTGGTGCCAACGTCTACTCAGCATCCACTCAGCATCTGTTCAGCTGTTCATTTGGCAAAGGACATCTCATGGCAAGGCAGAGGAGATAGTTGTGTGTATTTAAAGTCTCTGATATCAGACTGACTGTGACATACTTACCTTTATATTCCTCAACTTTTTTTCACAGCATATGGCTCATTGTAACATTTGTTTTTCTTTAAATTAGAAATTGATGTCTTTCGAAAAGCAATGAAAGACTGAAAGGGACTGGGGATGTAGCTTAGTGGCACATCGACTGCCTGGCAAGTGCAAGGTCCTGGGTTTGATTTCTGGTACCCAAAAAAAAAAAAAAAAAAAAAGCTCTGAAAGTCTTTTTTTTTTTTTTTTTTTCCTTTTCCCAGCCTATCATACCACTCCTAATAAAAAACTCAACACTAAGAAAAAAAAAACAAAACTAGGAAACCAGTCGTTGCAAAACCCCTTTGGCAGGAGGGTCTGGGTGTACCTCAGGAGCCCAGGGAGGCCAATATCCCTGGGATAGTGTGAACAAGGCACAAAGTCAGACACTTGGGCTCATTCTGTGTGAGAGGTAGAAGGTGTGGGAGGATTTTCAAAAGCATTTTGGCAGTATTCATCAAGAACCTTAATAGTGCCGGGGATTTATTCAGCACCATGTCATGAGCTCAATCCCTGGTACCAAAAAAAAAAAAAAGGAACCTTAATATTTTTGTGCCTTTTGACTTTAGTTATTCCATACTTCTTTTTTTTTTTTTTTTGGTACTGGATTTGGGATTGAACTCAGGACCTCACACTTGCCAGTTAGGTGCTTATGCTGCTGAGCTAAATCCCCAGCCCAGTAATTCCATACTTCTGTAACTCCAAAACAGTTAATTTGAAATATACTAAAAGCTGGATTTCATGGTACACAGCTGTTACCTCTGCATTCTAGGAGACTGAGGCAGAAGGATGCAACTTTCAGCCAGGCTGGGCAATTTAGCAACATAATAAGATCCTGTCTTGGGGGCTGAGGATTTAGCTCAACAGCATAAGCACCTGCCTTGCAAGCAGGCGGTTGTGAGTTCAATCCCTAGTACCGATAAAAAAAGTTAAAAAAAAAAAATCCTGTCTCAAAAAAAAAAAAAAAAGTGAAAAGGGTTGGATATGTAGCTTAGTGTGAATGCCCTAGGGTGTAGCCCAAGTACCGTATTTTAAAAAAAGGAGAACTGGAGGAAGGAAAGGAGAAAGGGAAAGAGTGAGAAAAAGAGAAATATAAAACATTGTGAGATACAGAACACTTTTTAAAAAAAAAACCACTTAACTATACAGGTGCTAAAGTAAGCGTGAGTACATAACAACATACAAATATTACCTGGCTTGCTCGGTGTGGTGTTGCCCTTTTATAACTTAAGCATTCAGGAGGCTGAGGCAGGAGGATCACCACAAGTTCGAGGCCAGCCTGGGCTATGTAGCCGAAGACCATCCTGAACTATATATCAAGACTGTGTCATTAAAAAACCAAAAATATTGTTTGTCTTCTAAAAATGTTCTATAGTTTACAATGTGATAAATGTTTACTATTTATTATACTTTTTCTACATTCTCCAAAATGTACTATCATTGCATATTACCTTTAACAGTTGAGCAAAATTGCTTTAGTAAACAGCTATAGGTTAAGGGCTAGGGATGTAGATCAGTAATAGAGCACGTGTATAACATATGCGGGGCCTTGAGTTCAGTCCTTGTACCACAAAAAAAGGATATAAATAATCTTTGCCATAAGTTGTGCCTTTCTTCGCAGAGAGACTGCCGCACACTCACTTTTACCTGTCCTGAGGTTCCCCAGGTGGATGGGCCTCCAGGGCGTACAGTGGCATATTTACCTCCGGCCTTCCGCTCTTTCTCTTTTGTCTTTCTCTTTACCTTCTCTGCGTGGCTTGCCCTGTGATCAGTTAGCTTGGGCCCAGCATGCAGATGTGAAGCTGTTATTCCTCGAAGTAAAGTCTACAATCCAAAGTCCTTTCTAGTAACTTTCACAGCTAGTGACAGAGAATCAACAGGTCTGTGTGGTATAGCTTCCTGCTACTTATGAAAGAATAGTATTTCCAATAACTGTGTATCTTAGTAGGTTTCAAGACATACATGCTAATCTGTTGAAGACACTCAGTCATTACCATGTTCAGTCTTGCTGCTCTTTCAGAAAAGGAGCCATTTCTCTTATCTTCAGTTATTACTTGGTAATAGTTAAATTTAAAATATTGTCTGTCTGCCTGTCTCTCTCTCCTGGTTGATATTAGTGCCTCTATCATGTATGTATATCCCTGCCCAGAAATCCAGCAGTGGCTTCACTCACATGCTATACATTGTTTGCTTAAAACAAGTCAGGGCTCAGTGGCACAAGCCACCTGCGTGGCAAGCACAGTGTCCTGAGGTTGATTCCTGGTACCAAAAATAAAGAGTCAGAGACTGGCAGTCCCAGTCTTCTTTCCATCACCCACATTGCCATTGTGGACCTTGGCATCTTTTGGGTGCTTTTGTGGACCTTTCCATCCTTTTGTTCTGCCGGCCATGGAGTTGGCTTTTCATCCTTGAGTCTGTTGTTTTGTGGCTGTAGGATAGCCAGTCTGATGGTAGATACCACAGTGAGTTTAGAATGAAAAACAAGGGATGGAGCCTGAGTGAATATAGGCCACTGTGTGCCTAAAACATGGAGTGCTACTTCTGAAGAATGAGCTGTGTTCATTTCTCTTTCCCCTTCCCAAAGTATAAATGACATGGCTGTCCTATTCCTTCATCAGGTCTCCAACCATCCGGGACATGGTGATCCGCTGCATTGCCCAGATGGTGAATTCCCAGGCAGCCAACATCCGCTCAGGCTGGAAGAACATCTTTGCTGTGTTCCACCAGGCAGCTTCTGATCATGATGGGAATATTGTAGAACTGGCCTTCCAGACCACAGGCCACATCGTCAGTAAGTGCCTGTGTCCCTTCCTGCAAATGACCACTTATTTATTGTCTGTTTTACTACCTATAGGCTCGTTCTTGTCCTATTTCTGCTGAGATGTGATGTGACAGGCAGTGTTCTAAGTACTAGGCATATATTTTTCCACCATACACTGTGTAGAATGTGCAGTCAGTCAGTCCTCTTTACTAGCAGATTCCATGTTTCTGAGTCCACCACGTCACTGTGGGTTCAGTGTAAATGTACGGACAGTGTAAATGCGTTATCCATTACATAAGGTGCCTTTGAAAAGCAGCACACCTTCAACAAGGTTGTACACTGATCCGTCAATGAAAATGTGACCAGAGGCTGATGGGAACTTCATAATTTTCTCTAAGAGCGCAGGTTTGGTGTTCTCTAATTCGGTGTTCACAGCAACGGTAAAGAACATAACTACTAAAAAACAAACCCCATAATTTGTAACAAGAACAACCTGTACCAAAGCCAGGCATAGTGGCTCACACCTGTAATCCCAGCACTCAAGAGGCTGAGGCAAGAGGATCGTTGTGAGTTCGAGACCAGCCCAGACTACACAGTGAGCTCAAGACCAGCCTGAACTGCATAGTGAGACCCTGTCTCAAAAAGACAAAAAACAAAAAGAACAACCCATACCATTGCTGTTGTTTCAACCATTGTACCAGAGAGGAAATTGATGTACAGAAAAAAACAACTCGCCCTAGACCACACAGCTGTAAAGTAAGGAGTCGAGATTTGTATCCAGGCCATTGCAGCCCAGAGTACATGCAGTATCCTCCACCATAGACTGACCAAGAGCCCCAGGTCGTGCCTTTGGTCATGTGATAGGATACTCACTTGGTCTAGGAAAATTGTGTCACCTCTGCCCATGGTGGGCTCTTAAGAAATGTTGAGTGACAGGGTAAATTTGGGCCTTTATGTCACTACTTGAGTTTACCAGATCAGTTTAGCCTAAGGTGTCTCACTGCTTTCATTCCTGAATAATTTAATAAGAAAAACTGTCTTCAAAATTATTAACATTATGGTGGACACCTGTGATCCTAGAATTTGGGAGGCTGAGGCAGGAGGATTGCTGCGAGTTTGAAGCCTGCCTGGGCTACATTGTAAAACCCTATAATAATAATAATAATTTGATATGCTTGTCTTAGGTTTCCACAAAGTAATCATGTATGTCTGTCTCTGTGTCTGTGTCTGTCTGTCTGTCTTTTAATCTCCTTTTCTACATCCTTCCTTTATAAAAAATGTGCCTTGTGTTTTCCCAGCAAGTATCTTCCAGCACCATTTCCCTGCAGCCATCGATTCCTTTCAGGATGCTGTGAGGTGCTTATCAGAGTTTGCCTGCAATGCTGCTTTCCCTGATACCAGCATGGAGGCCATCCGGCTCATCCGCTTCTGTGGGAAATACGTCTCTGAGAGGCCTCGGGTGCGTTTGCCCCCTTGCTTGTGGGTTTGGAGGGGAAAGGTCATGGTGGAAAAACCTTTGCTCCCAGCAAAGGGCTTTCTAGCCCATCTTCTAGAAATGTATCTTTCTCCTACACTAGATGTTTATTTCAAATGCTTCCATTTCAGGATTATGCCTTTTTGTTATTTTGTGTATATGAAATTATTTTATTCACACTGAACTTTTATATAGCATTCTAAAGTTTTTTCTTATAGAAGAATAGTATTTTAGCAGAGCTTAAGGAACTAGGCTTTTCTTTTGAAAGAAAACATACCTACCTTTTAGAAAATGGCATTATGGCTTTGTGACATGCCAAAGAAGCACATTTAAAAATCACCTTTGTAGATTGAGTATTATAGCTCAGTAGTAAAGAATTTGCTTAACATGTACAAGATTTTGGTTCCATCCCCAGAAGCCACAGCCACCAATATCTCCGTTTTCTCCTGAAAAATGAAGTTTTTAAGCTGGACATGGTGGCATACTCCTATAATCACAGTACTTGAGAGGCTAAGCCAGGAGAGTCATTTGCAAGTTCAAGACCAGGCAGAGCCACAAAGTGAGCCCAAGGCCAGCCTGAACGGCTAAACTGTAGCAAGACCCTGTCTCAAAAGGAAAAAAAAAAAAAAAAACAAGATTTCCTATTTGTCTCATCTTTCTAAACTGCTTAGCTTAAGTGACAGTTCCAAAACCCTGAAATTGGGCAAAAACAAGTATGCCTAAACTATGATGATTTGTACATACTTCGTCAGCATTCTTTTTTTTGGGACCGCCTGCTTGCAAGGCAGATGCTTATGCCGCTGAGCTAAATCCCCAGCCCCTTCTTCAACATTCTTTACAGAGAATCCTCTCTGGTGCTTTATCTGTCTGGTTCCTACAAAAGTTCATTAAGCCTAGCGTGGTGGCTCATGTCTGTAATCCCAGCAACTCAGGAGGCTGAGGGAGGAGGATCGTTGTGAGTTCAAGACCAGTCTGGGCTACAAAGTGAGCTCAAGGCCAGCCTGAACTGCATAGCGAGACCCTGTCTCAAAAAGACAAAAAAAAAGCTCATTAAAATGTGATGACCATGAGAACCAACACCAATTGAGCACTTAATCCTTGTCAGACACCATTCTAGATATTTCCTGTGTGTTGTTGATTCATTTAATCCCATGGCTAACCTGTGAGATGAGTAGTTATATCCCATCCAAGGGAAGTCACCTGAAGGACAGAGAGCAATGTTAGATAACCAGAGTTGGTAAAGACATTCCAGTTCCATTTCAAGAGAAGTTACAGAGCAGAGAGGTCGTATTCAGAGGGAAGGCAGGATAGGATTTCATCTCCAGAATGGGAAAGTCTGCCAGATCTGACTGCATGACCTTGGACAGTTTATTTAAGCTCTTATGGAGCCAGATAGCTCATTTGTAAAATGGGACCATCTCTCTCCCTTCCTCTTGGGATTGTTAGGATTATTAATCCATATAAAGCACTTTTACAGTTCCTGGCCCGTCACAAGGAGGAGGTATAGTAGTTGCTCAGAAAATTTGTTATTGAGTCACCCTGGGTATTTTACTAACCTCAAGTGACTTCCTCCAGATAACACCTCCCACACCCAGGATTCTTGTGATCTGCCCCATTCAGTGTACTCTTATAGAACTTACAAAAGTGTGTGGGTTCATGGCGAAGCTGCATCAGGGCCTTGTGCACAGTGATTGTCTCTCACTGTCTCTGTGGGATTTCCTGGTGTGCCTTGAATGGTGAATTGAGAACAGGTGAGGCCTCAGTCTTTGCGTAGCTCCTTTGCAGTTTTCTCCTCTGAGCTGTGACTTTTATCATAGGTGCTACAAGAATACACCAGTGATGATATGAATGTAGCTCCCGGCGACAGAGTCTGGGTCCGAGGCTGGTTCCCCATCTTATTTGAGCTCTCTCGCATCATTAACAGATGCAAATTAGATGTGCGGACAAGGTAAGTAGGTCTCCAGTACGGTGGCCTCTTAATATCACTAAAATAACTCTTGGCTCTTACTCCCTGACTCCATTCCCTCCCCAACCCATTCTCTCTTCTGTGCCTCAATTGTTTCTTTCAGAGGTCTCACGGTCATGTTTGAGATCATGAAGAGCTACGGCCACACCTTTGAAAAGCACTGGTGGCAGGACCTGTTCAGAATCGTGTTTCGGATTTTTGACAATATGAAGCTTCCTGAACAACAGTCAGAGGTACGTGATAATTATAGCACTGCCTCAACAAGGATGTGAAAAGACCAAAGGCTGTCTGCCCGCTATGGGATTGCACTACCATCTACCCAGAGGTCTGAGGTACAGGCTATTGAAGGTGTTTTAAAAATGCAGACATTCTTCCTATGCTAGTGTTACCCAGTTCAGAAACTTCACATCTGCCAAAGAGGGAAAGAAAGTAAGCTGTATAGTGTGCCCACTTGGTCCTCTGACTACTTGCTAGCTCAGCAAGATCCTGGCTGGCGATCTCAGCTGTCGCTGTTAGAGATGTCTGGATTATCAGTAGAGAGTGGAAGTCTCTGGTCCCTCACAGGCTGGACTAAAGTTAGAGCTAGAGATGGCTATTGTGGGTCGGGGGACGAGGGTAGGTGTTTAATCCTTAAAGGTGTTTTGGTTTTCTGTCTCCTAGAGGTAAAAGATGAGGAGAGAATATTCAGTTTTAAGATTTTTAGCTTGGAGAGTAACTTTTTTTTTTTGTCTTTTTCTTTTTTATCGGTACCAGGGATTAAACTCACGACCACACACTTGGCAAGGCAGGCGCTTATGCCACTAAGCTAAGAGTAACTTCTTTACCATGCTTGGGGCTGGAGATTTAGCTCAGTGGCATAAGCGCCTGCCTTGTAAGCAGGCAGTCGTGAGTTCGATCCCCGGTACCGATAAAAAGGAAAAAGACCAAAAAAAGAAAAAAAAATTTTTTTTTTACCATGCTTTTAGAAACACCCCAATATACACAGAAAAATTCTGCTATCTAAAGATTAGTTAATATTTTCACAAATTTCTGACTTATACATGATATAAATATGGTTGCAATTATAATACAGAATTTTCTGTTCTTAAAATAGTTTTTCACTGGACATGGTGGTGCACATCTGTAATCATAGCACATTGGTTGGGAGGCTGAGACAGGAGATCACAAGTTTGTGCCTAGCCTGTGCAACTTTATTGAGACACTGTCTCAAAAAATGGACTAAGGATGTAACCCATACAAAGGTCTTGGATGCAGTGTCCAGTGTGGCATTAAATGAGTTTTTTCCCTATAAATGAATATATATTCATTTCAGAAAAATCAGAAAACGTACAAAAGCAAAGGAAAATTTCAAACACCCACAGCCCCATCTTCCATAAGGCAAACACTCTTTAACTCCTGTAGAGGGGGTAACAGATTTTCCCTTTTTAGAAACTGGACTCACAGCATACTTGTGTGGTTTTTAAATAACACAAGTGGTTTTCGCACAACAAACTTTCTTCTTCTGCAATTTTTAATGACTACAAAATATTCCTGATTGTGGATGTTCCAGAGTCCACAGACATTTGGGTGGCTCCAGTTTTTTTGTTCTTGAGGCAGCTATGAAGCTGTGCTCTCCTTGGGTCCTTCACTCCTTTTGCTATAGAGCAGGTAGCCCTGACTGTCATGTTGGGATTGCCTGTTTCTGAAAATCTTTACACAGGCTTCTGAGTTGCCTTGCAGATAAATCCAGTTCATTGTACTTCTGTCAGCAAAAGTTAAGAATTTTTGCTTCTCCACACCAACTCCAGCTCTTTGTATATTTTAATTTCTAAAGTCACTGTTGACTTTACAGGCCAAAAGCATGGTGCTAAAGGATTTTCTTGGTTGCTAGTAAAGTTGCAAACTCTTCTTCATTAATCATTTGTGTTGCTTCTCTGAATGAATTGTGTGTTACCACCAAGACTGTCTTCATGAACAATAATGTCCTTTATTCTAGTGCTGTATATTACCATTGTTTCCTTTACTCACAAGAACTCTGCAAGATCCGTTTCATTTTTCTACTTTAAAGATGAGATAAGTTCAATCCTGAGAAATGCATTAATTTTCCAGAAGATATCCAGCCAGAATCCAGTGAACCTTGACTTTAAGTCATGTTTGTATCACCTTAAGTTCAATGTATTTTTATTACCATCTCCAGGTGCCTGTATTGTCTCTAAAATGTGATCTTCTAGGAGAAACTAATTTCTTACTGAAAGTCACTTACTATGTATTATCTTGACTTAATTTCACTTATTGGAAGGTCTTTCTTGGTACTATATAATCTTCCAGTTTTAAAATTCATCAAAATATTTTCAAAACATATAGGTGTTACGCTTTTCAAGTTTATGGTATAATTGCTTTTCTCACTTTGATCCAGAATTTTAAAAATCAGATTAAATGGGATCTCATCACACTTACCTGGCTATTATTTGTGAAAACTGTAGACATTAGCATCTACACACAAAAAGTTTGGAGAATATGTAATTATTTAATTTGTGTCTGTGATATTTGAAAGTTAAGAGAATAGATGTCTTTACCTTAAGAAAAAAATGTAGGGAAAGAAAATTAAAATTATCTTAGGCATTGAAATTGGGAATTTGTTGATTATATAATTTGACTTCTCTGTTGCATTGTGCTTTTAGCTTTTAATCTATATTTATCTTAAACATTATTATTGGTATGCCTCTATGGCTCCTCAGAATCATTGATGCACTGTTCAAGTATTGTAAATGAATTCTTAAATTTCTACACGTGTTTTCATTTTCTAGTCATATAAAACAGCTCTAATTTAAGTAAGACATAACCAAAAAAAAAAAAAAATGAATTGTGTGTCACATTCTTGCCCGTCTATTAGGTTATTCACCTTCTGTTGATTTATTTTTAAATTTATGAATACCATTCATACATAAGTTACAGTTGATTCTTCCTCGTTATTTTTATTTCTTTTTAAATTTGGAAATATTTTAGCTTCTGAGTAATCAAATCTACCAGTTTTTTCCTTTCTAGTTTACACATTTAGAATCATGCTTAGTAACCCTTCTGATTTCCATGACTTCATAAATAACTTTGTATATTTCTCTGGTAATTTCATGGCATTTTTAATATTTAAATTTTTGAAGTGGCTGTTTAGCATAATTTCATACTAATTTTGAATGACTAATATTTTATCACACAATATATACTTCATTTAATGCCTGTATTGTTAGATGTTACATTGTCTGTTCTCACTGTACAGATGTGATTGTGGTAAACATCTTCTTCATAAACTTTTGCCCACAAGTCTTTGTAGCTGTAGGATGATTCCTGATAGTGGTGCTACTGCATCAGCGGATGTGGACTATTGATACTTGGTGCGAAGTTGTGTTTCTATTGGCAGGCAGTTTTGCCAATAGTGTACAGAGAAAGTGGTTTTTAAGAATTATTGTTTTGTTTTTCCAGAAGTCTGAGTGGATGACAACAACCTGCAATCATGCACTTTATGCCATTTGTGATGTGTTTACCCAGTTTTATGAAGCTTTGAATGAAGTGCTGCTTTCTGATGTATTTGCACAGTTGCAGTGGTGTGTTAAGCAAGGTATTCTTTAGGTCTTTAAGTATCATTTTTCTTACCTAGTCTTAACAAGAGTTTAATTTTTTCTATAAAACTGTAGATGTAAAATTAAAGAGTACATTATGCAGTTTAAATGGTAAAAATGTATATTTTTAAATTTCATATGGAAAAACCAAAAAACAAAAAAGCCCAATGTGGTAGTACAGACCTTTAATACTATCATTTGAGAGGCTGAGGCAGGAAGATTGCCATGAGTTTAAAACCAGTCTGGACTACATAGCAAACTCTTATCTCAAAAAACAAACAAAAAAAGTATAGGTGTGGTGACACACACCTATAATCCCAGCACTCAGGTTGAGGCAAGAGGATTACTGTGAGTTCAAGGCCAGCCTGGGCTATATAGTGAGTTCAAGGACAGCCTTAATTATATACGAAGACGCTGTCTCTGTAACCTTTAATCCTCTAATCGCAGCAATTGGGAGACTGAAGCAGGAGAATCATTGGGAGTTCTAGACCAGCCTGGGCTACAAAGTGAGCTCAAAAGCCAGCCTGAAATGCATAGTGAAATCTTGTCTCAAAAAGACCAAAGAAAAAAGTAACATTAAAAACACCACTTTTCAGTTTATAAAGTACTTTAAAACAGAATGTGTTTATATTTTAAAAGATGTATCCTTGTGCATTATACTCTCTACTTTTATGTTTGAAATTTTGTATAGAAAAATTTTTTAAAGTGTGCGTTTGGAGTCAAGCAATGGGCACTTTTTGCTGGAGTAGTTCTGTGTTTATTTTGGGTGAGGAATAGATAGGTAGGGGAGCAGATCTGGATTCCATGGAATTCTGACTTAGCGCTAGGCTGAATTCAGTTGTTTTTAAAGGAGTGACTCAAATTTAAATAAATGATATAACAGATAATGATAGATGGCAAAAATTGGAAATGCGTGTGAATAAATTTTTAGAAATACTGGTCCAACATTTTTCTATCTTCTTTTTACTTTTTCTCATTTATGAGCCAGTTGATTAAAGTAACAAAATATTGACCTTCTTATATCCTTAGCAATAAAACTATGATAAATCATTTTACCTTTTAGTTATATTCTTAATCCATGACACTCCTATTGCTGTCTGTAGCCTTGCCTCCTAATTAACAGCCTATAAGTCCTTCGGCTGCAGTTTCCACCCTACGGTAAAAAGCATCTGGGCCCTGGTTGGTATCCAAACAGGAGTTCAGGTTTAATGACAAATACTCTTGTATTAATTTGCAGATAATGAACAGTTGGCTCGATCAGGTACAAATTGCTTAGAAAACTTAGTAATATCCAATGGAGAGAAATTCAGTCCCGATGTCTGGGGTGAAACGTGCAACTGTATGTTGGATATTTTCAAAACCACCATCCCGCATGTGTAAGTGCTGATGCTGTAACTCATGTGCTGAGTAGATGTCTTAAAGCGTCTTGTCACTTTTCACGTTAATTGTTATCCTCTTCTGTTCCCTTAAGTTTGCTGACATGGAGACCTGCAGGAATGGAGGAAGATTCATCAGAAAAACATTTGGTAGGGATTTTGTTTGTTTGAGCTTTTTAGGGGGAGGGGTGTGTTTTTTTTTTATTGTAATAGAAGTTCAGTAACCCTTTACACCCCAGCTTTGCTTTTTTGATGGGAGTCAATAAAAAATGTTATAAGATCTAAGGAAGTCTTTTTGGCCAATAAAAAGCACTTGGCAATTCTAGCTCTTTCTTTGTGTGTCTGTGCATACCTGATAGAGCCCATACAATTGAAATGAGGAACCACATGGCATATAACATATTAAGATTGTGAATATTTTTCTGTATTCTTAATATTCTTTGTAAAAAGCCTTTTCAATGGCTGCACAGTTATAATTTCTTTTACTCTCCCTAGGATGGAGTGTTAGGCCAGTTCTAGTATTGCAGTGTTATAAATAGCCCCTCACTGCCAGCTGTCCTTTCTGCTGCTCACCTAGCTTAACAGTGCTCTCCGTACCACCAGAAATGGTTCTTATTTTTTGTATAAGAACCACATAAAGCAGCTTTAAATTCAAACCCCACTTTAAAGAAAACCACATAAAGAAGCCCTAAATTCAAATCCCACCTCCCTCCCCTGGGTAGCAGGGGCTGAATTATGAACTTGTATTCCCAAAAAACTCTTAAGACTGGTAGATTATACAAGACATTAGGGATATAATAACTTAACAATTTAAGTTATTAAGCACTTTATTTAAGCATTTTCTGTTTTTTAACTCTGTCAAAAACACTAGCTACTATATTCCTTTTTTTTTTTTTTTTAACTAGCAGTTGAACCCAGGATACTGTGCCCCTGGACTACATCTCCAGCCTTTTTAAATTTTATTTTTAAGTGGGGTCTCATTAAGTTGCCCAAACTGAACTCAAATTTTTCCATCTTTCTGCCTCAGCCTCCTGGGTAACTAGAATTACAAGTATGTGACACCAGGCCTAGCACTCCTGATTTGATTTTGAATTTTTTTTTTTCTTTTTGAGACAGTCTTGCTATGCAGTTCCGGCTGGCCTTGAGCTCACTTTGTAGCTGAGCTGGTTTTGAATTTGCAGCCATCCTCCTGCCTTAGTCTCAAGAATACTGAGATTACAGAAATGTGCCACTACACCCAGCTCTTGCTTTTGATTTTAATCCTGTAAAAAACATTTGTTACATGCCAGGCATAGTGGCTCATGCCTGTAATCCCAGCACTCAGGAGGCTGAGGCAAGAGGATCCTTAGGAGTTCAAGACCAGCCTGAGCAGCAATGTGAGCTACAAAATGAGCTCAAGGCCAATCTGAACTATGTAGCAAGATCGTGTCTGAAAAAGAAAAATAAATAAATTTGTTACACTCATGGTTACATTATAATGTGTAGAGAAATACCCTGAGTTTTTATAGGAAAATGTGAAATTTTAATGAGGGAAGAGCATAATTGAAATCATCCCCCCGTATACACCTTGTGTATGTAGCCTTTGAGAAGTCCATTTTACTTAGCTGAACAAGGCATTGAAGTTCAGGCTGAGCCAGCATTGTTGAGAGTCACACCCCCCGCCCAAGTGCCCAGTGATGGATGAAGAGAAGTGAGCTGCGCGTTTTTCTCTGGTTTATACTTAGGATGTGGACCTGGACCGCCAGTCTCTAAGCAGCATAGATAAAAATGCCTCAGAGAGGGGCCAGAGCCAGCTCTCTAACCCGACTGACGACAGTTGGAAGGGTAGACCATATGCAAGTAAGGCAACTTTTATTTTCAATTTGTTTTTATTTGTTACCTCAAATAGCAGATTCAGATGTTCCGAAGGCACCAAAGGGTGAACAGGGTGAGTCTTCTTTCTCCACTATGCCTCATTCTGCCCATGCCTTTCCTTTGCCAGCAGTGTTACTGGTTTCTTGTGTATCTTTCTGGAGTCATCCATGTGCCAGCAAATACATACATGTGTACAGTTTCACTTATATATCAACTTTCTACCATTGCAACAGTACTGCTTTGCATAACAACACATATGTCCTTGGTTAGTTTACTTAGGAAACTCTTAGAAATCAAACGTTAGGGTCAGCGAGAAGGAGTATTTGCCTTATGACAAATATCCCCAGATTCCTAACTATTAATGATTGTACCTATTTACATGATCTTTGGCAACCCCTAAATGAAACATGGTGTCTCTGAAGTAATTTTAATTTGCGGATTTTTTGTTTGTTTTTGTTTTTGAGACAAGGTCTCACTGTGTAGTTCAGGCTGGCCTTGAACTCACTATGTAGCCACCAGCTGGCCTCAAACTCATGGCCATCTTCCTTGAGCACTGGGATTATAGGCATGCACCATCACACCTGGCTAATATGCAGGTTTCTAATTATGATTGACATTCTGTTTAAGAATGCTTTTATTGGGCTGGAGAATAAGCTCAGTGGTATATAAGGCCTGGCTGGCAAGTGCAAGGTCATGAGTTCGAGCTCAGGTGCCAAAAAGAATGCTTTTATTTTCTGTGAACTCTATTGCTAATTTTTTGCTCATTCATAGTGATTATTGATCCTTTTCTTGCTGGTTTAGAGGAACCCCTTATATATTAGAAGTCCTTTTTCTAGATACAAGTAGATTTCAGATTACTTTTTTTGTTGTTGGTTTGCTTTGTTTTTTTGAGAGAGACTGTGTAGCTCAGGCTGGCCTTGGACTCACTATGGAATCCAGCCTAGCTTCCAACTTGTGGTAATCATCCTGTCTCAGCCTCCAAATGCTAGGAGTAAGGTGTGTACCACCATGCCCAGCTCAAATTACAGCTTATCTCAGTGCTGCTGGTGGTGTGTTTCACCTTTTTTTGGGGGGAGGGAGTTTCTAGGGATTGAACCCAATGGTTTAATGCAAGGCAAGCTCATTCTACTGCTGAGCTATACCCTTAGTCCTGTTGTCTCTCATTTAAAAAAAAAAAAAAAACATGGGGCTGGGGATTTAACTCAGCAGTACAAGCACCTGCCTTGCAAGCATGCAGTCATGACTTTGATCCCTGGTACTAAGAAAAAAATAAAAATAAAAAATAAATAGGCTTCATGTGCCTGGCACTATAGTGTATTTCATGTGTAAGATCTCACTTCATGCTTATGGCAGCCTTTAAGAGATTTCAGTTTTACATTTGCATACACAGAGCCTAGACATGATACAATGTGCCAGTGTGTAAGAGTTGGGATCCAGAGACACCTGTGGCAGAGGGAGGAGTCAGAACTTCTGAAGTGTTACTCTGCACTTTTTAAAGCTGCATGCCCCAGTTGTTTGTCTGCACAGCAATCCCACGTCATCTCAACAACCAGGTTGTAATCATTAGCAAAGGATTGCCTTGGATTCAAGGCCAGCCTGAACCACAGAATGAGACCTTGTCTCAAAACACAAAACAAAGAAGTATAGAGTGCAGAAAGCAATTTCTAATTGTGGATTAAACAAAAAGTGGTTGATCAGTGATCCAAAAATGAAGAATTTAAAAGAGCTATCCCTGCATCCATGCAAAACACAGATCCTAGCCTGTTCAGGAAGGAACTAAACAACTCTGTGGTTATGGCAGTCCAGAACTGGCCCACAAGAGAGAACTGGTCCATGAAGTGACAGAGAAACTTGCTGGAGGACACAAGGCCTGCAGAGCTAATTCTCTGTAGGCCAATTCCTTTGGGCCGTTGCTCTGATACCAAATCTTTAGAAACACATTTAACTTGCAACTCACCCTTACACTTGCTGTCTCTGTCTTACATCATCATCATTTGGCATACAGTGCCTCACACTTTAAATCTTTCCTGCTGTTGGCTAACTCATGGGAGCAGGGCGGGGGGTGTTGTTCAGCCTATTCATTGCTATGCTATCACATCAAGGGTCACGCCAGGCACATGAGGGGAGCTCAGTGAACATTTACCCAGCATTGGCTGAATCATTATTAGGGTTATCTTTATCATTTAATATAGATCAGAAACTGTTTGCCAGCCTCCTCATCAAGTGTGTGGTCCAGCTGGAATTGATTCAGACCATTGACAACATTGTATTCTACCCTGCAACCAGCAAAAAAGAGGATGCAGAACACATGGTCGCTGCCCAGGTAACAACCACTGGTGTGGGGTGCGGGGAAGGGAGACCATCTTTGTCCATGGGGATGTGGCCAGGAGGCTCCATCTGGCTGCCAGGAGCTCATCATGCTCTTCTCTTTGCAGCCCCACACTCAAGATTACATTGCTCACTTGAAATTGGCCACAACAGAACCTTTTAATTCCCAGAAACTGACTTAGCAGCATCCCCCTACCTAGGTGCTTAGATTCCACCCATCCCCTACCTAGGCACTGGAGAGAAGGTGTCATCACAGGAACTTGTTTTGTATGTGTGATAGTCTGTATACACGAATTCTTAAAATATACAGGATTGAGCATCTGGAAGTTGGGCAGTAACCTTACACTGTAGGTTGAAAATTTAACTACCTCCAGGGCTAAGAGACCCTGTGAGTGAGGCAGGTAGTCTGTGTGGGGATTGCAGTCAGCTGCCTCCCAGATCCAGCACCATGTTGCCATCTAGGGGGTAATCACTGCTGAAAAGCTACATCTGTGCTCCTTGGCCGCTGTTTTTAAGTTTGAAGTTCTGTAGCTTCAGTGTATTTACAAAGTACAAGCATTGCTACTGTCTGATTGGACAATAATTCCCAGTACTGTAAAAAGGAAATTCTGTGATCACCCTTACACTCTTCTAGGCCCTGAAAACCACTAACCTTCCTGTTCCTGTGGATTTAACCTGTTCTGTATGTTTCATTTAAACAGAATTGGGCAGTATGTGAACTTTAGTATGTGCCTTCTTTAACTTAGCATAATGTTTTCTGGGTTCATTCCTATATCACGTATCAGAACTTCATTCTTAGTTCGATCCCTGGTACCGATAAAAAGGAAAAAGACAAAAAAAAAAAAAAAAAAAAAAGAACTTCATTCTTGGGCTGGGAGTTTAGCTCAGTGGCGTTAAGTGCCTGCTTGGCAAACGTGAGGTCATGAGTTCGATCCCCAACACCAAAAAACAAAAAAAAGAACTTCATTCTTTTCATGTCTGACTGAGTAACACTCCACTGTGTATAATATTACATTGTGTTTATCCACTCATCAGCTGGGTTTTTTCCTCTTTTTGACTGTTTCAAATAATGCTGTTAGTAAAATTTACTTATTTGTGTACAGATTTTCTTATGGACATTTGCATATATCCTGAGAGTGGACTTGCTTGGTCATGTGGTAACTGTTTGCTTTTTTGAGTAATTGCCAAAGTATGAAAAATGTCACCTTCCAAAGTGGCTGCACTATTTTGCATTCCCATCAATAGCACACAGAGGCCCCAGTTTCTGCACATTGTCACTCGTGGTTTTTATTACCCTTCATATTGTAATTCCTACTGTGCCATCCTAGTGGATATGAAATGAGTATCTCATTGTGGCTTTGATTTGTGTTTCCTGATGACTAACATAGAGCATCTTTCATGTTTATTGGTCATTATTTTTGTGCTTGTTTTTGTTACATCACGGATTAAATCCAGATCCTTCACACTGAGCTATATTCCCAGCACTTTTTAAAAAACTTTTATTTTAGAGAGAATAAAACTTAGCAAAATAAAACAGTAAAGCCAATGAAAACAAGATAGTGTGATACAGGATTTCAAAACAAGATAAATGTAAATCAACAGTGGCTACCATCCATAATGTCTCTTGTTGTCTTCAAAATAGCTGCTGCCCATACTGTCAGACATAGTAAAATCAAACAAAACAGAAACAGAATAGAACAAATAAAAACAAAACAATGCAATACAGGACTTAAAAACAAGATAGTATAAATCCAAAATGGCTACCATAATATATCTTACTATTTTTGAAACAGCTGCTATGCCATTAGATACAACAAAATCAAACAAGATAAAACAGAATAAAACCCAACCAAACAAAACAATGAGGGTGGGATTTTGAAGCAAGATAATAGAGAATTAACTCCTTCAGAAGGAGATCCCATATAGGCTACATTGTGTAATATTCTCCTCTGAATAGATGGTCAGACTACTGGCTTTAGGCCTGCAAAGTCAGTGAAACCCTAAACACTATAAGCATTAAATTGTATTTTGCCTCATTAGCTATCATCACAGCCTGTGTTTCTCCAGATCAGCCTGTCTCTTACGGGGAGGAGGGGCACATTGGCTCTTCTTGTTTCCTGCCTGCATGCTGGAAGAGGCTAGTGTCTAGCTGTCCCCCAGTCACTCACAGGAGTGGTTTCTTGTTGACTTCTTGTTCTCCTCTCCCTCAGTCCGTGGATGGCACCAACCTACAGGAGAGAGCTGGTGTCTGGCTTTCTCCCAGTCAGCCCATGCATGACCCATTCGCAGACCTTTTATTTTTTATTTTGAGAAAGGGTCTGGTGAGTCACTCAGTTGTCCCGATGGGGCTCAAACTTGGAATCCTTGTTGGGTATAGTAGTGCACACCTGCAATCTCAGCCCTTGGGAGGTTGAGGCAGGAGGATCTCTGCAAGTTTGAGGCCAGCCTACACTACATAGTAAATTCAAAGCCAGCCTGGACTACATAATGAGTCCTTGACTCAAGAAAACAAAACAAAAACCAAAACATTTGCAATCTTCCTGTCTCAGTTTGCTAGAGTACTGAATTACAAAACTGCAGGAATACGCCACTGTGTTAGGCTGGTCATTTCTATATCTTTGAAGATGTCTATTCAAATATCTGTCCCATTTTTGAGCTGCCATTCATTTCTTTATTCTTGAATTATGAGTTTTTTATATGTGCTACATACCATCAGATACATGATTTAGAACCATTTTCTCCCAATCTTTTCAGTTTCTTGATGTTCTTTGAAATACAAAATAAAAAAAAATTAGTGTTATCTATTTTTCTTTAATCCCTTGTGCTTCTGGTGTCAAATCTAAGAAAGCATTACTTAATTCAAAGTCATAAAGACTTAGGCTTATGTTTTAAGAGTGTTATAATTGGGTCTGCTGTACCTTTCGGTGCATTTTTGGTTTATGATGAGAGGTAGGGATCCATCATCTTTCTTTTACATGTGATACCTTTCTGTCCCAAACCTTTGCTTCAAATTCTATTCTTTCCCTGGAGAATTTTCCTGGCACTTTTGTTAGAAATCACTGGGCCATAAACACAAGGGGTGACTTTCCATTTTATCACACTGATACATGTTTGGCTCGGTGCCAGAGCAATATTCTGATTATTACAGTTTTTAGTTAAGCTTTGGGAATCAGGTGTGAGCCCTCCACCCTTGGCCTTCTCTTTTCAGGATGGCTTTGGCAGTACTATAGTGCTTCCATTTCCAGATGAACGTTAAATCAGCTTGTCAGTGTCTGCAATGAAAGGTTTTGATATAGATTGCATTGAACACAGGTCAATTTGGAAACCAGTATGGTCTTACCATCTGTGACCTCTAGTTTATAAGGTTAGCTCTAGTCTTAGAAATCTCCAGAAATATAAAATCCCTAATCATGTCTCAGATTTTAGGCAACATGTTCAATAAAATTTTCAGTCATTTCACACTTTTTTTTAAGAGTGTTTAGAGGGAGAAATCTTGTGATTGAAGCTCAAGAAGCCACTTGGACTCTGCTCACAAATTTCATATTTTCAGTTACTGTATTTATGCCGTCTGTCATATTTACTTCATGTGCTTGCTTTTCAATTTGGGTGTGGTGGTGCACACTTGTAATCCCAGCACGTGAGAGGCTGAGGCAGGAAGATCACTGTGAGTTTGAGGCCAGCCTGGTCTATGTAGTTCAAGGTCAGCCTGGGCTACATAGTAAGACTCTGCCTCAATAAATAAATTTAATTAATTAACTACAAAAGATTCAGTTCTGGGGAGCTGGGGATTTAGCTCAGCGGCATAAGTGCCTGCCTTGCAAGCAGGCAGTCGTGAGTTCGATCCCTGGTACCGATAAAAAGGAAAAAGACCAAAAAAAAAAAAAAAAAATTCAGTTCTGTAGTGAAAGATTTGGAGACACGCATTGGTTACACAATGAAGGCAGCAGTAAGAAAACTGAAACTTTGGCCAGCCTGAGTCGCTGTCACACAGCAGCTCAGTATGTGTCTTCACCAGCAATGCAGAGTCTATGTGGAAATGAGTCAGGGCACTGGAGGGTGTTTCACAGAGAGAACAACCTTTTGGAGAGTCAGAATTACCTGTGGCTATATCTTATGCCCAAAATCACTCCCTAACCTTCTCTTAGCACTCCTATCTGTTTTCTGTCCTGCAGCAAGACACACTGGATGCAGATATCCACATCGAGACGGAGGACCAGGGCATGTATAAGTACATGTCTTCCCAGCACCTCTTTAAGCTGCTGGACTGCTTGCAGGAATCTCATTCATTTTCAAAGGCCTTCAACTCCAATTATGAGCAGCGGACTGTCCTGTGGCGGGCAGGTAAGGCCACAGAGCAGTATGGTTCACTGGCCACACTGGTTACCATCCTAAACATTAAGGTTTTTAGGAAGTTCCTAGTATTTCAAATGTAGTTGAAATAATTTCCTAGATTTTTGATTTTTGACTTTTTGGACCAGGGATCAAACTCATGACCATGTGCTTGCTAGGCAGGTGCCTATGCTGCTGAGCTAAATCCCTGGCCTCTCCCTAGGTATTTTTATGCTTATTGCCAGATTTCATCCCAATGCCAGGATGCTTCATATATAACAGAATCTCAAAAAGTATTTGATGAAAAGAAAAAATGAAAATTGGAAAACTGAATTGATCTTGCAAGTCATGAAATTTGACATTAAATGTTAAATATGCTGATACAAGCAGGCTGTGGTGGTGAACACCTATAATCCCAGCATTTGTGAGATAAAAGTAGTTGGATCTTCAAGAGTTCGAGGCCAGCATGGGCTCTACATCTCAAGGCCAGCCTGGTCTACATCTTGAGACTCTATCTGAAAAGAACAAAACAACAACAAAAAAATGGTGATACAAAAAGTGTGGTAGTCTTAAGAAACAGAAGCATTCATACATTTTTCTGAGGGTTTACAAGTTCTCTGCCATTCCTGCCTCCAAAAATAAATGCATAATTCCTGGAGTAAATACATGTATTTTTTTCCAAATGTGGTGATGAGATTCTTATTATTTTGGGTTTTTTTTTTAAGTTTTATTCAAAGAGAAAAAGAAAAAAAAATAGAAAAAGGGTACAAGTAATACAGAATTTCAAAAAAATAAACAGTAAGAAATCACTAGTTAATAGATTACATATTGGCATCTTAGAAATAGTTGTTCAAGTTACAAAATTAAAGCATACAAAGTGGACATTCAAACAGTGAGACTGCAAAGAGTTCTTTCAATGATCCAACAAAGGTTATCTATCTTATACACCTAAATATACATACAGTTATATCCTTTAGAGCACTTTCTTTTTCTCTTTTTTACAATAACAGTTACGCATTTTGGGTTTTATTACTCCCACAGTTCTTAATACTTTTTTTGAAGAGAATAAAACCAAATGTGACAAAACAAAACAGAGTCAGTCAAATCAAAAGGATGGACATAGTACATGATGTAAAAACAGAATACAAGGTGATCAACAATGGTTACCATAATGCCTCTTGCTATCTTTTTTTTTTTTTTTTTTTTTTTCTCCCAGTACCAGGGATCGAACTCACGACTGCCTGCTTGCAAGGCAGGCGCTTATGCCGCTGAGCTAAATCCCCAGCCCCTATTATAATTATTTTAATCTTCTCCCCAAAATACCTGTTTATTCTCTAATGAAAGATTGTCATTTTCCTGTGACTTTATTTTTTTTATTTTTATTTTTTTTGTCTTTTTTCTTTTTACCGGTACCAGGGATTGAACTCACGACTGCCTGCTTACAAGGCAGGCGCTTATGCCACTGAGCTAAATCCCCAGCCCCCTTTCCTGTGACTTTAAAGTACATAGATGTTTTATGTCTTTGCCTATGACAAAATTTTGCTTGTGAGGGCAGTTTGCACATTATCTGGCTAATGAGAACTGTTTGGTTTTAAAAACTGTATTTTATATGTACTGTTTGGAAAAAAATTTTATAACTTAGAAAAATGCTAAAATCTTGCGAGCTATTACATTTGAGAAGATGCAACTAATGGCTTTCCTGGTCAACAAGCAGATCTGGCTGGCAGTCAGGACATCAGTACAGAGAGTGACATCCAGAGTTGAGACTGTCTCCGTGTAGTGTCACAGTTGAGCTTGTTAGAGCGGTGAGAGGGTTCAGTGCTTCCTGAGCTAGATAACTAATTACCTTACCATTTCTCAGCATCTTCCTGACCATGTGCTCTACTTAATGACTTTCTGACCTCCAGGTTTTAAGGGCAAGTCTAAACCTAATCTTCTCAAACAAGAAACCAGCAGCTTGGCCTGTTGTTTGAGGATCCTGTTTCGAATGTATGTTGATGAGAATCGCAAGGATTCGTGGGATGAAATACAGCAGCGACTTTTAACGTAAGATTGGCTTCCCATTGAGTTTTCTAGCTGTCATATGCAAAACATATCACAACAGTACTGTGAACTGAAAAGAGTAGGAAAAAATTACCTCCACATGGACACCTCCACAGGTATCTTCCTTTCACTGTTTTTGTTCTGCGGTGCTAGGGGTTGGATGCAAGGCCTTTGCACTGAGCTACGTCTTCCTTCCCCCAGCTCTCACCCTTTTCTTTTGAGACTTGAGTTTCACTAAGTTGTCAAGGCTAGCCTCAAACTTGTGACCCGCCTGCCTCAGGTTCCTGAACACTACTATTACAGGAGGTGCCACCACATCTGGCCATTTCACTTTTATCTCAGGAGAGAATGTAGGGCCTTGCTCAGGTCACATCTGAGTTCCACAGGCATAGAAACCTGGGTAGTAAAAAGTACTCTGACCCGAGAGTCTCAGGCTGGAGTGAGGTACGCAACCCTGTAGCCCAGAATAGGTCTCCATCCCCTTTGGGACCAGGTCCTTTTTAAAATTGCTGTTTCCGGGGGCTGGAGATTTAGCTCAGCGGCATAAGCACCTGCCTTGCAAGCAGGCAGTCGTGAGTTCAATCCCCGGTACCAATAAAAAGGAAAAAGACAAAAAAAAATTGCTGTTTCCTCTGATGCCCCATCATTCCTTTTAAGAATGAATTGGAATCACATGGATTTCAGAGTATATCAGAGTCAGGTATTCAGAGATGTATCCATGGGGAGACGTTGAGACACATGCAAGAAAGTCTCGGAATGAAAAGTAGACCTCTGCCATCCACCTCATAGGCAGCAGAAAAATGGTGATGTCTGCCTATATTTCCAGTTAACTTGGGAGACTGAGGCCCAGCCTGGGCAACTTACTGACTTAGTGCGACCATCTCTCTCAAAAAAAAAGCACTGGAGATACAGCTTAGTGTGAAGTTATATGTACTTTTAATCTCTAGTTACACACACACGAAAATACTGATGACAGTGTCTAAGCCTTTATTTTTTTAGTTTGATGAACCTAAGTCTTGCACATGCTAACCATACAGTGTATCAGTAAGCTACAATGCTAGCCACCTCCTTTTGCCTCCTTTTATTTCTTCAAGATTTAAAACAGTAGGGGCTGGGGACTTAGCTCAGTGGCGTAAGTGCCTGCCTGGCAAGCATGAGGTCGTGAGTTTGATCTCTGGTACCCAAAAAAAAAAAAAGATTTACAATATTGGCACCCGTGTAGTAAGGCCCACAGTTCTCCTACTTGGCTGGTGGGGGTGTACAGTGACATGATCTTTCTAGAAAGCAAGTAAAATTATATACCAGGAGCCCTAGTGAAATGTTCATTCTCCTTGACTCAGTAATTCCAATGTTAAGAAAACTAAAGAAAATATTTTAGAAATATGAACTAGGATTCCATACAGAATACTCATTGCAGATTTAATTTATAAAAAGAAAAAAGCCAGGCATGGTGGCACATGCCAGTAATCCCATCACTTGGAGGCTGAGGCAGGAGGATCATTGAGAGTTCAAGACCAGTGGGAGCCGGGGATTTAGCTCAGCAGCATAAGCACCTACCTAGCAAGCACAAGGTCATAAATTCAATCCCCAATACAAAAAAAAGACCAGTCTAGACTACAGAATGAGCTCAAGGCCAGCTGCATAGCAAAACCTGTCTCAAAAAGGAAAAAAAAAATTTTGAAGTTTAACTGTAGCTTGGATAACTGTGGAATATCCATTAAAAAAGAACTTTTGTTGCAAGACATAATGGGGTATATTTGTAATCTCAGCACTTGGAAGGCTGATGCAAGAGGACTCCAGGGTTCAGGCCCAGCCTGAGCTATGTAAGAAGACTGTCTGTCAAAATAGGAGAAAAAAAAAAAAAGCCATTGTATATGATAGGAAAGAATTATATAATTAACTATGAATAATAAGTTTTTGATATTTATTGTGCTGCAAATTGAGTCTAGATTTAGCCATTGAGCTAAGCTATATTTATTTCATTGATCCTCACAGCAGCTCTAAGTTTGGCAGTTCTTTATCTGCATACAGCTGAAGAAACTAGGGCTCAGTGATTTGTCAAGACAGCACAACCAGGCATGATGCTCAGTATATAATCATTGCAAGAATCAGCAGTACCTAAACTAGGCATGATGTCACACACCTGTAATCTCATACTCAGGAAGACTGAGTCAGGAGGATCGCAAGTTCAGTGCCACTCAAGGCTACATAGTGAGTCTGCGGTTATGATGGTATGCCCTTGTAATCTCAGTGCCTGAGAGCCTAAGGGAAGGGGATTGCTGTGAGTTTGAAACCAGCCTAAGATACAAAGCTGAGACCTTGTCTCAAAAAACAAAAAATAGGCCAGGGATATAGCTCAGCAACACAGCGCCTGCCTGGCAAGTGCAAAGCCCTGAGTTCGATTTCCAGTACCAACACAAACAAAACTGTAGTGACTTCAAAGCCAACCTGAGCTACTTTGCAAGACCCTGTCTCAAAAAGGAAAAAATCATCAGTTCCCCCTCTGAAGATGAAATGCTAATCCATGTGGTGTACCCCCCTCTCTTGATTGCAGTGTGTGCAGTGAAGCTCTTGCCTACTTCATCACAGTGAACTCTGAAAGCCATCGGGAGGCCTGGACAAGTCTCCTTTTGTTACTTCTAACCAAAACTCTCAAAATAAATGATGAAAAGGTATGAACAAATAACCCGTGCTGTCTCTTCTAGGACATGAAGTTTGAGTATCAGTCACTCAATGTTTGAAGCAACTGTTTTTGGATTTTCCCAAGGATGGTCACATAACATATTCTAGATGCATTGGAGAGAAGTTAATTCATTACAAACAGATGCCTGTGGGTAGTAGGTGCACCAGCGAAGGCTGAAGTAGAAGACACATGTGTGGCCGTTGGGAACAGCACAGTGTTTTTCATTGTGGGAAGAGAGGGTTGAGATTATGAAGTGCTGGTTTAGACCTAGAACTTGCTTTACAAAATGAAAAGACTATTGACTTGGAAACAAGACTATATTAATATAATTTAAAAGAAATTAAATGTAATTGAAATAGGTTTTAATGTGGACATTTTTTGGTAACAAGTTTCTAAAAGTAAGAAAAGGTACCAATATTAAAAGAAAAAAGAAAAGGTACCAGTTATATGAAAAGTTTCAGAGTAAGATGAATACTTTTGAAAACTGGTAAAAAAAAAAAAACAGTTTCATGTCTAATTCGATCTTTCTATTTCTCTCCTACTTTAAGTTCAAAGCACATGCTTCAATGTACTACCCCTACTTGTGTGAAATTATGCAGTTTGACCTGATTCCTGAGCTCCGAGCAGTTCTGCGGAAGTTCTTCTTACGGATAGGTGTTGTGTATAAGATATGGATTCCAGAAGAGCCAGCGCAGGTACCAGCAACATTGTCACCAGTGTAGTAGCCCTGAAGGCCACTGCTGCAGCTCTGCAGAACACTCATCATGCCATTTCTGACTGCCCTGTCTTGTGAAGGTCACACAGAAGCAAGGAGCTGCCATCTTGGATCTTAGAATGTCCTAGATAAGGTCAGCCTCTGTGCTGGCCCCATCAAAGTTCCCAACGACTAAGGCTTGTGGTATTTCATTAAACTGTTGCATACCCAGTTAATATAATAGGTGGAGAATCTGTTCCACTCATCATTCCATTTTATTGATTAAACTGTTCACTCTGTCATTGCAAATGCCATTATTTCCAAGGAGAGTCTCTTGATTGGCTGTGAATGTTTTGTCAGAGGAAGTCATTCTCCTTGAAAATACTGAACATAGCTGTATAGCTTCATGATTATTAGACAGTATGTTAATAAAATTTCTTGTAATGGCTGCCACCTAAAATATGCCGGGTATTTGTTGTTGTTTGAGTGTGTTGAAGATATTTGAGTGTTTTTGTCAGTTATGAATCAGCCATAATTATATTAGTCTGGGAAAAGGTAGGAAAAAGATTGTCTTTATGTTTTGTTGTATTAATGTGAGTGATTTTTAAAAAGTATTTTACAAAAAGACACTGAAGATTTAATTGAAGGCAGCATTTAGTAATTGTTAGAATTAAGAGCTTGCAAGGTTTAAAAAAAATTGTGCCTCACAGCACTTCTTGTTTTAGTAACTTGGGAAGAAAAGGCTATAGGAAAAAGTAAACAAGTTCATGAAACAAGTTCATGACTAGCCTTCCTTGAAGTAAGTATTTGTGGATGGGTGTTCAATTAAAATTTCCAGAATACATTATCCATCTCGCACTCTGAAATCTAATATAGGAAGTAGTAATGAAAATGAAGTAGTAACTGCCCAGAGTTCATTCGCCTTTGAGTAAACCATTTTATTTACCTCAGAAGAATGAGTGTACGGATAGTATCGCTGCTTTGCACAGTCCCCATTAAAGGGACCTCCAGAGGGAGGGACAGTAACTTCATGAGAAGTGTTGCTCCTGAGGTCACCTCACCAAGGATCATGGTAGAACCAGAGCTGCCGTGGGGCCAGCACAGCTGAACTGTGACAGCGGCAGGAGATGCTTAGCACTCCTGTTATTTCGGAACCGAGGAGCTCAGTTCTTTGTCCAGATTAGATCCTGGGATCCTTACGATGTTTCCGATGGTGCAATACTCGGAATTACACTAGAGGCATTCTCATGCAGCTCATGTCTGAATGGGCAGTGTAGGAGTACGGCAGTATACTTGGAAGCTTAATTTATTCTGAGTCCACAAAAAAGAAAACACGCTTTATTCTTGGCCCTCATCCACTGCTCAGGCAGAGCAGACCAAGTGTTAAAAAGTGTCACACAGAGTGATGAAAACATTCAAACTTCTGCTACAGTCTAGTTCTGAAAATTGGGTTGTATTGATGTCAACTCTGGTGCCTTAGAAGTCAGTAGTTTGGGAATCTATCTGTAAAATCAGATATTTTTTCTTTCTGCAGAAGGATTTCTGGTGCTTTTGCTTATTACTAAGAGACTGATTTCTTAAGTTTTTTGTTGTAATTAACAGCCTTGAAAAGTGTTTGGTTTTGCCCAGCAGTACTCTTACCTACTTTTTTTCTTGCCCAAAAAGTGTTTTAATTTCTCTACCAAAGAAGAAAATCAGGTTTAGGTTTTTATTTTATTTACAAACATTAGATAGATAAGAGGACCTATGTAATGTAGCAGGAACGGACCCAGGGAGAATGTTTTACCATGAGTGGAGTGTAAGAACATTTGACTCACTTGTCCTGAATCCATCACATCTTTATGCTGCACCCTGACACCTGCACCTAAGAACTGCCCTGGTATTGTCTTCTGTCACTGCCCAGCAAGCCCATTGTCTTCACTGCAAGCTTTTTGTCAAAGGTTTAGGTGGAGAGCAGGCATGTGGGTTCATTGAGTGCGTCTTGCATACAGCTACCCCCTGGGTTGGTGATTTTTCCTTTCTTTCTAAGGTTCTCATGTAGCATTTGCTCATCACAACTTTCCAGTGTCGTCCTAGCTTCTAATTTTTGCCTGTTGCAGGACAGGAAATGTGTCAGTATGTTTTTATTACTTGCTGAAATAGTCAAGCTTAAATTTCTTTTTAATTTTGTCTTTTAAAAAATTAAGTTTTTGAGTGAGGCATTTTAATTGCAAAGCAATGAATCTTTAAAAAACGAATGAACATTTGAGTGGCAGAGGCAGGAGGATCACTAGGAGTTTGAGGCCAGCCCGGGATACATAGTTCAAGGCAGCTTGAACTACATAGTGAAACCTTGTCTCAAAAAGGGGATTGCAAAGAGGCTTAGCTCAGCAGCACAAGCACCTGCCTGGCAAGTGTGAGGTCATGAGTTTGATGCCCAGGACAAAAAAAAAACTTGGATGTAAAAGCATTCAAGCTAATTTTTCTTGTCGGTGGACAGTAGGAAACAGAGGAAATTCCTGACCTCCAGTAATAAGCCATTCAGGCTAAATCCTTTTTTGCGAATCTGTTTCTCATGGTAAATGCGGCCTAAGCCACTGGAACACTAGTGAAAAGGGTGTGTGCAGCTCTGCGGCATTGGGCCGAGACACTGTCTCACAAGTGACAGAGGCAGCAGCGCGAAGCCTTTTCCAGGCCTTGTTTCTGTCTTGAAATGCTTTCAGTGTTGACTGTGTTCGCTGGGTCTCTAGAGAAGTTTTTGTTATGATACTGCTGCTTTGAACAACTTTATGTTTCTTCGTTGTCTGTGAGGGAAATCACCAGCTTTGGCATCTTAACAACAAACATGGGAAGTTTCATTTCTAAAGTGCACCCTCAGAGTCAAATACACTTTTTCCTTGTGCTCCTTATGTACAACCAAAGAACATACATTATAAAGATCGTATAATATCTGAAAACAACATTTTCTCTAACAGGTGACTTTTGTACAAAATACAAAATTAAACCACCTTTTTTTGTTCTTTTGTGACTATGACTATTAATAATCTTTGCAGTTATTAACAGGACCTGCTGACAAGTGCAGATGTGACCATCTCATTCACATGTTTGTTGCTAGGATACAGGTGGATATTGGTTTCAGTAGAAGCTGGATCCTCAATAAATTCTGTTGTAATATTTGTGTTAAGGTAGGCACAGCTTGAACTCACATGAAATCCTAGAGTTTTGCTACCAGCAGCTTTGCAGTTTGGGAAACAAAGAAACCAAAGCTGAATATTTTAAAGAATGACTGTATCTGGAAAAGACACTCATCAAAGATGTAGTCTCTCTCAGTGTTCTAATTTTAAATTTTTTATCTGCATATTTGCATCAAATACTTCTTTATGTGCAAAATGTATGTTTTACCTCCTTAAAATGCCTAAAAATTAGTTACTAGCTACTTTGATTTAATCTATACATAATGATTAAGTGCATTTAATATTGGTAATTTAATGAAAAGCATTCCTTGCCCAGTGGATGTATACATTTTTGAAAGAATAAAGCAGAATTATATAATATGAAATGCTATGTAAAGTTTTCTATGTAAAAATAATATGTATAATACTGTTAAAATATCCCATGCTTTGATCAAGGTGGTAAATTAATAAAGTTTTAAAAAGTAAAGCTGTTTCTAATATAGTAGTAATTGTGCTCATCAAGCCAGTTTTCAGTTAGCTGAAGTTTGTTCTCAGGGCAAATATAAGCTTATAATTTTCAAATAGTGGCAAAATTTGGCATCTATATTTAACAAAAGTAATTATTCATAGAATATTGTTCATATGTCTTTAATTTTTCATAAGAAATGTTCCTTTTCCCAAAGCTGAAATGGGAAAATCCAGTCATCATCAGATTGTCTTTTGGAGGGGATGGGGGTACTGAGAATTGAACTAGGGACATTGTGCTTGTGAGGCAGGCATTTACACTGCTGAGCTGTATCCCCAGCAATCACATCCCTTGAATCCACTTTACATTACCTAATTAATCTGACCAGTGATGAGCTCCTAAAAGCAGAAACCTACTGCTGCTGGTACCTTGAGGGCGGATCCTGCTGGGCTCTGAGTGACCCAAGGTGATTGTAGGCTCACATACTGTAAAGCACTGTGACATCATTGAGTGGCTTGTCTTCCCTCTCTTTCTGAAATACCCTGTTAAAGTTATGAATCGTTTGCTATAAAGTATTCCATGTTTAAAACTAATGATGTTGTCATCATCATTACTTCCCAGAAGCCAAATCTCTTATCTCTGTGAGACTAAATGTCAGGGACTTCCCATGAGGAAGAAAAATTGTGGGCCCCACCTGGAAAGCTCATTGGAGTCGGCCAGCATGTGGGCCAGGTCCAGTCAGTGTTCTTCAACCACTGCCGACTAGTGGTTTGAAATTTTTCAAGGGGCACAGATGCAACACTTGGCAATATTTGGGAACGTTCCCGGTTGCCACAGCTGAGGCACGGGTAGCTATTGCTTTCTGGAGGATAGAGGTCAGAGGTGCTGGCACACAGCCCCTGTAGCACTGCATTCCCAGGCCCATGTGTCAGCTGTGCTGAGTCTGAGAAATTCAGCACCAGGCTACAGTGACTTCCTGCCTCTAGGGAGGCCTCTCCAGGCTGGGGAGAAGTGCCCTAAAATCTGTGGCAGACACTTCTGGCTCGCTTTAACCTTCCTATTCAAAACAGAAAAGAGCACTTTTAGCCAGGTGTGGTGGTGCATACTTGTAATCTAGCACTCAGGTTGCAGCAAAAGGATTGTCATGAGTTTGAGGCCAGTGTGGGCCATATATCGAGCAAGACCAGTCTGAACTACATATTGAGACCCCGCCTCAAACTGCCTCCCTCCCAAAAAAGAACAACAAATACCTGTACTTACCCATTTTATGAAGGGGAATATGCTGCTGGATTTACTGGTTCAGCAAGGGGAGCTCAATCTTGCTTAGGAGTCACTTATTTAAGCATTTTCAAAGGTAATGTCAAAATTATACTACATTCATACTCTGCAGACAGACTGAATATATTTGAGGCAAAAGCACTTTCTAGTTGGGCATGGTGGTGCATATCAGTAATCCCAGCATTCGGGAAGCTGAGGCAGGAGATTCAACGCAAGCTTGAGGCCACCGTTAACTACATGGGAGACCCTGTCTCCAAAACACAAACATTTTCTTTTGAGGATGGAGTGGTTCCCTTGAATTTTTTTTTTTTTTTTTTTTTTTTTTTTTTTGGTCTTTTTGAGACAGGGTCTCACTGTGCCATTCAGGCTGGCCTTGGGCTCACTTTGTAGCCCAGGCTGGTCTCAAAACTGCAGTGATCTGCCTGCCTCAGCCTCCTAAGTGCTGGGATTACAGGAGTAATCGCCACTTCACCCGGCTGGTTCCCTTGAATTTTTACAGACCTATGTAATCTGTTTTCTGCTTTCAGGAACCTGTTAGAAACTCAGGGGTAGAGTGCTTAGTGTGCCTGAGGCTAAGCTCCATACTCTCTCCCTCAAGAAAAAGCAATCTAAATTTTTTCTTGGAATGCCCACAGCAAGAGGAAGAGGGGTGGGATGTGCAGAATTCTGACAAAAACAAATTTTAGTGTTTTGTTTGGCATGGTTTAGTTTGATTTGTTTTGGGGTTTTTTCTACTCCCACAGTTTAGTTTTTAAAGCCTATTTCTAGGCAGAGGCCAACTGTAACTTAGTTTTCAACTGAATATTGAGCCACCGAGAATAGTTCATGTAACAGTTTCTTTTTGTTTTTTGCTGTGCTGAGGATGGAACTCAGGGCATCATACCTGCTAGGCAAAGGCTGTACCACTGAGCACCACTTTTTTTTTTTTTTTTTTTTTTTTTTTGTCTTTTTCCTTTTTATCGGTACCAGGGATTGAACTTACGACTGCCTGCTTGCAAGGCAGGCGCTTATGCTGCTGAGCTAAATCCCCAGGCCCTGAGCACCACTTTTTAAGATGTAACATTCACTGATGGTTTACTATACTCCTGGAACCGCATTATAAATGCTTGCACACAGTGAGTCCTTTAAACCTTACCACAAGCACACAAAGTAGACAGTAGAATTATATCCCAAGTTAGTTTTCATTTTTGAAATAGGGTTTCCCTGTAGTTTAGGCTGGCCTTGAACTCACAATTTGTAGCCTAGGCTGACCTCTGACTCACAGCAATCCTCCTGCCTCAGGCTCCGAAGTGCTGGGGTTACAGGTGTGTGCCACCACATCCAACCAACACCCTGAGTTTTCAGACAAGGAAACTGATCCCAGTATGCCCACTGGTGCTGTGTCTATGGACAGCACACACGGCTGCAAAATTTTTGTAGTTTTCTCTTTCTAAATCTCACCTCTCCTGCCAATTCATAAACTGACTTCCTTTTTTGTCCACTTTGTTAACATACCTCAAAATTGACTACTTTTGATGACTTTTGAATTCCATACTTGCTTCTGCCCAGGACCACATGTTCTTTATCTGCATGTCTCCACAGCAAGTTCCTTCTCTATTCAACTCAAATGTTCATTCCTCCAGGAATGTCCTTGACCACAGTTACCTTCTTTGTGACCTCAAAGCTCATTGAAATCTGCAGTGATCTGTTATCTTCCTTCAACTACAACACAAACTGGAGAGGCCAGGGACCATTCTAGTCTCCCTGGGGCCAGGGGTTTAGCTCAGCAGCATAAGTGCCTGCCTGGTAATTGTGAGATTTTGAATTTGCTCCCTGGTACCAAAAAATAAATAAATAAGAAAGTCTCCCCATGATGCCTGACGCGTAGCACCCAATAATAGTTGGTGGGGGAAAAAAAGGAATTTTTTTTCTTCCCCCAATACTAGGAATGTAACCAAGGGCCTTGTGTTCATGCTAGGGAAGCCCTCTACCACTGAGCTACACCCTTGGCCCTTTTAAAATTTTTATTTGTTAATTTATTTATTTTATTTATTTTTTGTCTTTTGGAGTCAGGGTCTCACTATGCAGTTCAGGCTGGACTTGAGCTCTGGCTGGTCTCAAACTCACAATGATCTTCCTGCTTCAGCCTCCCAAATACTGGGATTACAGGTGTGCACTACCATGCCTGGCTTTCCTAGCCCTTTATAAAATTTTATTTTGGTAACCAGGCCTGGCAGCACACACCTATAATACCAGCATTTGGGAGGCCTACGCAAAAGGATTACTAGGAGTTGAAGGCCATTTTGGGCTACACAGTGAGTCCAGGGTCAGCCTGAACTACCTAGAAAGAATGAGTCTCAAAACTCCAAAATAAATAAATAAGTAAAGAGATAAATTTTATTTTGAGGCAGAGTCTAGCTAAGTTTCTGTCCCAGGATTCCTGCTGAAGCCTCACTTCTCCCTCCCACCAAAGGCCCAAAGGAGAAAAGAAAGCACTTCATGTCTCCCTCCTGGAAGACATTCCTGATTGTCTCCTGCCCTGCTCATGCCCAGGACGGGAGCCAGGGTCTTGCTCATGCTTAAGAAAGCACTTTACTGGTTAGCTACATCACTTGCCCCTTGATGCTCTCTTATACTCTCCACTTCAACTGTTCTTTAACTTCCAATTCTCATGACAATCCTATGAAGTTGGAACTATGACCTTCACCGTTCTGCATTTATTTATTTACTTATTTATATTTTTTGAGACAGTCTCACTATGCAGTTCAGGCTGGCCTTAAATTTACTATGGAGCCTAGGCTGTCCTTCAACTCACTGTGGCCTCAGGCATCCAAATTTTGGGATTAGCAATGTGCACACCACACCTAGCTTCATCCCTGCCTTTTATACCAGGTACCTGGGTTTAGATGGCCTGCGGTCACTTAGCTGGATGGAAGCTACAATGTCTGGCTCTTGAGCCCCGCTTGTTTTTTTTTTTTTTGTCTTTTTCATTTTTATTGGTACCAGGGATTGAACTCACGACTGCCTGCTTACAAAGCAGGCGCTCATGCCGCTGAGCTAAATCCCCAGCCCTTGAGCCCCGCTTGTAAACTCAGCCCAACACTATTTCCATTTCCGGTTCCCCAACCCTCTCTTTCACTGCAATCTTGGTGCCCCTATTGGTCAGTCTCACCCAATGGAGGAGTTTCACACAAGGGGAGGGATGGGCTGCTTTGAGGTGCTAGGGAGCAGACAAATGAGGTTAAATGGGGCACTGTCCCTGTGGACAAAGAACACATGCAGCATAGTACTAACGTGCAAGCTCTGGGACAGAAATATGAATGTAGGCTCACATGCAAATGTTAAGTTCTATGTCAGGCTAATAATTATTTAATAAAATATACTCTCTTCCTTTAGGAATAACCCAGAAGACCAAGATCAAAGACCCGGTTCAGCTCCTCACCAGAACATGGCAGCATGGAGTGAAATAGCCTCACTTATGCCCATGGATGGGACGTTTCAGGATTCTTTGCAACCACAACATGGTCTGAAAAGCACCATATAGGTGCTACATGCGCACACACATTTGGTCCATGTGCTCCTGGCCTGTGGAGAGGAGCAGCTGGAGCAGGAGAAAAGCCCTCTCAAGTAGGGCCCCTGGCAAGGATCTGATTCCCAAGCCTAAGGCAGCTCCACTTGGGAGACTGGAGTACTGTGACAAAGCAAGGTGTCAGAAACACAAATGGTGGGTGTTACGGTTTGAATCTGGATGTACCCCAAATTCT